ATGCTCTTTTAATGTTGCTATTATTTTTCGTGTGTGTGTGTGTGTAGGGATAACAGATGTTTTTGGCAGAGTTGGTTGGCCTCACAGTGTGAAGAAAAGACGACGCACACGCGTTTACGTATTTGCGGAATTTTACTAGTTTTGTCGTTGTTTTTGTTTATTTTTTTTTTGTATATTCAAGAATTTTTATAACGGATTTTCATTTGTTTTTTTTTTTTGCGAAATGTTTCCGGAACAAATAAAACCCAATAGAGAACACACATTTACAACCGTTAAATGTTAATATAAACAAACAAGCGCATTTCACTTTTAACCCATTATGCTTGTTGATGTTGACGACCCGACCCGACACAACAATGGAAAATTAAGATGGATGGGAAGAAGAGTAGGAGGAAATAGATACAAAATTTCTCTTGTTTTTATTTCACACTAGTGTACTATTATTTTACACTGCATAAGCACATCGCACCGTACCGCATAGATAATTGCGTTTCTCTGTTTGCTGGTTGTTTTCTTTCTCAACACCACAACAAGCTGTAGCAGCAGCACCACACATGAATTGATTATTTTTTCTTTGTTTCATTTTCTTCTTCTATCAATACATTTTACTTCGTTGTGGTACTGTTGTGCATATTGTAGTCGCCGTCGTCGCCGTTGTGGTCTTCTTCGCATTCATAATTTATTTTGTTTTTATTTTATTATTTTTTTGTAGAACATTCGAACGAAGAAAGACCTTTGACTTTTTAAGATACAATAATACTATTTTTGAAAACAAATACAAAATACGTTAATTTTTTTTCGTTGTGATTTGGTAGTTAACGCGAATTGGTTTTGTTTTTATTGACTTTTACAATAAAACACTTTTTTGTTATTTTTATTTTTTTTTTCTTTTTTTACACAAATGAAGAAAGCTTAAAATACCGAAATGCCATCGAAAACAATTGACAAGAAAATAACACACATGTCTTAATCAAGTGAAAACTCACGGATCACTGAATGATGGCATATGTTTAGCTCATTTCACATTGGCATTACCAATAGGGTTGCCCTCATTTTTAAATAACAATTGAAATTTTAAACATTGTTACACAGAATTTAGCACCAATTTTAGATTTTTTCTTATATATTAATTATATTAAACGCCTCTATTATTGTACTGAGCTTCCTTTTACTGAAATAATTCCACAATTCTCATGTAACATAAAAAATCGCAAATTGCCTACGCACATTTGGCAACCCTATTTACTCTCAGCAATTTTGTTTGATTTTTTTTTTTTGCCACAAGAGATTACCCGCCGTAAACAATATTGTGTGCGGTTGGTCATAGGCCAAACAATTCAATTTTTTCTCCGCTTTTATCTAACCAAAGACACAATTTTAATTCAATTAATCTTTATTTAATTTATTCCACTATATTTCCTTTACTTTTTGTTATTAGCTTCCATCATTTACTTCATTTGTTTTTTATGTTTGTTTGACCATTTGATATATATGTGTGTATTTTTTCGTTTCGCAAATCACGTGCTATTATGTTAATCACTTCTTTTTATTGTATTGTTTGTATTACACATCTTCTATTCGTTTTCGTAAACCTCAAATGAACTAAACTGAGAATTTCGCAAGTTTGCAGACTCCATAACTAAACCGAAAACCACAACTAAACAACAAAAAATACTTTGTTGATTGGAGTGTGTTCCAAAATGTGCGTTCAAACTGATCTATTCACTGAAATGAACTGTGTGAACTATATGTAATTCTTTCGTTATTTTTTTTTTGCTGGGTTTCAGTGCATCTTCAACCGTAGCATAAAGTAAAATGTCAAAAACGTTTGAGAATGGAAAAATAAAAGAAATGAAACAAATAAGATGTCAGTCAGAGCACAATTAAGCGGTGTACACACTATCATTTTTGACTGTCAGCTTTTTCTCGATTATATTTAAATATTTTTGTGGTTGCCAAAACAATGTGAGGCCACACTATCAAACAAGCAAAATTTGAGCAAGAAAAAAATGCTAGTGTGTACACCGCATTAACCCATTCCCAGCCATTTCTTTATATTTACCAAAACAATGCATACATTTTCAGAAATTTGACATACCATTTGACAACCACAATAATAAAGTTCATTATAAGTCGACTATATAATAAATCCTAAGAAGATGTATCAAACAAAAACCTTTGTTTTTGTCTCGACCATATGTCAAATTTTTCCTTATAATATTTCACATGATTGGCAACATTGTCCATCAAATCCTAATAGGGTCATCAGCTGCTCTAAATGGACTACCTATTTATTTTACCATGGTTTAGGAGTATCGTTAAGTGCATTATATCTGAGTTTGCTAAATCCACTCATTATTTCCATATGGAGATAATTTGAAATACAAAACGACATTTACATTAGAACGTTTAACTGGATTAACTAATTTTATGAATTTGAAATATATACATTGGAATTTACAATTTAAACATACGGGTGCAATGAAAAAGTGATATAACATACAGTACAATTATATAACGTAGGCTATTCATATTATGGCTTGTTATGCCATTAAAAAATTTCAGATTATAACTATAATTTAAACTATGGAATTGATATTTGAAATCGAGTAGATTTAGTAGACTGAAAGTGCATTAACAGCAGACAGGATATAGTACCTCGATTTATAAATCTGATTATGTCATTTGAGATAGAGTGGATTTCGATGTATATAGCGTTTTTGCATATTTTTTTTAAAACATTGAAACCTAAAACGGCATGTACATTAGAACTATTTACTGGGTTAACCTACTTTATGACGATTTATGTGACATATATGCAAAGGAATTGCCAATTGAAAACCACTGGGTTAACGAAAACCGGTTAAATATAAAAGTACTATTAAATTAGAACCTACTCTAATGGTCTGTTCCCGTACTGCAAGAATTTATTTGATTTTACAACTTTTTTCGAAAAATACCTTATCATAGTAAAAACTAGTAGCATGTATACAATGGAATTGACAATTGAAACCCACTGGGTTTACAAAATCCGGTACAAATAAAACACGCTTCAGTTCTATAATGTGTATGTAAAGGGAAATTGATGATATAAAAGGCACTACTGACATCAAAATCAATTCCATAGTTTAAACGTGAAAAAACATCAACCGGATTCATGATGTATACCCCATGGTATTGACATTTTAAATTAAATGATTTCATAATCTAAACGAGCTTATTTTGTTCAAATCCATAGTGTATCCGTCAAATATAATCCATTCGAACATAGCGTATACGTCACGTATACGCTATGGAATTGACATTTGAGATCGAGTGGATTTATATATTAGAACTTTTTACTGGGCTAATTGACTTTATGCGAATTTTTTGACATATATCCAATGGAATTGACAATTTAAAACCAAGAGGTTAAAGAAATCCACCACAATGGAAATGTAGTATAAATTACGAATTATTATAGAACACTTTTTTTTGTAAATTAGCCCTAAATTACGAATTTTATTAAAACAACATTGGCGTAACATTGACATTTCGAATACGCCAACGTTTTCTATGTTATGTGATGAGTAGTGATCTTACGCCGCCGCCCGGATTTAGGCAAACCTTGAGCTCTCCTCGTTTTACAAATGCTGCTGTTCGACAGACACGGTTGCCAACCCCACAAGCATACAAATCTCAAAATTCATTGTCGTCGAAGTTGAAATATATATCTTCAGCTGGAAATCTCTTGGTCATATTTTTTTGTGTGTGTGTTGAAAGAAACTCCGAATGCCAAGAAGAAATTATTAGCCAACAAACTATCAAACCAATCAGGACACAATCAAAAACTACTCCTTGAACTGAATATTGTGTCGCTCTTAGTGCATCCAAAAAAAGTGGCCTTTTCAATTATTTAATAAGCAATTATCCATGCAAGAAGAAGTGTATCGGTGTGTGTGTGCCAGAAAATAAGTTTTTTTCTTTCGTTCATTCTGCTGGTGTCGACTCGAGAAAATCTACGAGAAACATATTTTGCAAAGTAAGGGAAATTAGTGTATTTCGAAGAAAGGAAGAAGAAGAACAATGTAAGTTTTAATTTGTCTGCTGAAAATTTCGGGGATTTGTGAAATCTCTTGAATTGAAATTTACGCCATCCATTTTGTTGGTGCTACTCTCATACGTTTTGGTTTTTTTTGTTTTCTTTTGTTGCTTTATCATGCGAAGAGGAGGAATGTTTTGTGTGAGTGTTGTATATGTGTGCGTTTGTGTGCACAGTAAATGAAGCATTCCTTGAAATGGAGACACCAAAACAATTCAGTTTTTTTCGTTAGGAAAGAATTAGAGCGAGATAGCTAGATTTGTTTTGGCTGAGAATTTTTGTTTTGTGTTGAGGTGTCCTACCGAATAGTGAAGTAATTGTCCTACCAAGCCAGACAGTCAGCAAATAAACAAAATGAAGTTTGTGCATGATGCTTAGTGTTTTGTTGTGTTGTGTTTGTTCATCCTTTAGAAAAAAAAACAGCAGCTGTGTTTCTTACACCTGCCACCACCTGCTGCTGCTGCTGTGGGGGATGTTTTTCTTTCATTTGACGAAGATTTTTTGTAGTTGAGAATGTTTTTTTAAAGATGTTTTTTTTAACATATTGAAGGAATTATTGTTTGAAAATATATTCAATTTAATAATTGTTTTAAATTTCAATAATTAAGTGGATTTAATTATAATTATGTTGCTTTACTGCAACTTCTGGCTTGCAGTATAAATAATTTCATTTTGTTTTGTTAGAAGGTTTTTTATGTTTAACAAATTTATAATAAGGCAATTTAATTTTTTTTTTTTGGATATTCTTAATTTTTAGAATTTTATAAAATTCAATATTACAGATTTTTATTTGCAATAAAAATTAACTAATAAATTTGTTGTTTTATCTTACAGAAAATAATCCACAAACCAAATACACCACCGCTACATTTTTGGGCTTGTACCATTTGAGAATTTTGTAAAAAAAAACAAAAAGGGAAAAAACAATGGCTTGTGCAACACTTAAACGTACCCTGGACTGGGAATCAATAAATCAACGCCCAAACAAACGACGACGTTGTAATCCATTCGGACAATCAGGTAATACTGGTTCACCATCACGTTCCTCATCAATGGGTCATGATGGCGGCATTCCCGGCTCCAATCCACAATCGCCTAGCAGTCGTTTTGTTCGTGAACCTCAGCCCAGCCCCTTTGCTGAGGCAAATCTAACAAAAATGTCACCGGACAAAATGTCACAGAACATCCGCGAAGAAATCAAACGGTTACACAGACGTAAACAGCTGCCATTTTCATCGGCGGCCATTGAACGTATGCAAGATTCGGAATCGAGCGGTTCAGAAATGGGACCAGACAGTCCACGACGTCCCGACAGTCCACCAAGTATTGTTCGCAATCCTGAAAAGGCATTATTTACATTTAAACAGGTAAGTATTTAGGTTTTTTAATTTTGTGCTTATAGTTCTCAGGGGAAGGTATTGTTTGTATAGAAATAAGACTCGTGAAAGGTGGGTTTTTATGGTCGAAGACTTGCATAGATGCACCGCACTGTCTGTATTTTTCATCCCATCACAAACATTTAAGAGCCTTATTAAGTGTTTTGGAAATTTCCATCTCTGTTATGAACATATGTAAAATTTTGTTTCGATCTGGCAACTCCTTCATATAGAAACAGTTTTTCAAAAAGACGCATTCGCATTTTTTACAATGGAATCACGCATTTGTAATTGTTTCATTGTTAAAAAAATTGTGGATGGGTCTTTTTTGAACACCTGTTTCTACATGAAGGAGTTGCCAGATCGAAACTAAATTTAACATAGACTAAGAACTTTCGCAACTGCCCTTGTATATTCCTTCTGCAGGTCATTAACTCAATGTTTAAGGAATTACCAGATCAAAACTGAATTTAACATGTGTCCATAACTGAGATGGAAGTTTTCAAAACACTTAACTTTTTTTCTGTTTTTACCGCGCTTTCTGTGCTCTAGGCTAAGAACTTTCCGAACTCTGCCCTCATACAATATTGGTTTACAAATCGGTTACTAATAAATTATTGTCAATTCTGTTTTATTTACAGGTGCAATTAATATGCGAGCGAATGCTTAAAGAACGCGAAGATGAATTGCGTGAAAAATATGATGCTGTACTGACAACAAAACTTGCAGAACAATACGATGCTTTTGTCAAATTCACATATGATCAAATACAAAGACGTTACGAAGCTGCTCCAAGCTGTAAGTATAACCCAACCCATACATAAATGAGTTGAATTCGGTTTTAATAACTCAGTTTTTCCATTTTCTATTGTTTTACAGATTTGTCGTAATTTCGGACCTCAGGCGCATATATCCCAAATTAGTTTCTTATGTAGACGCTAAGGATCTAACTTCCTCCCAGCCTTTATGTCATTTAACGCCAACACCGCAAATAATTTCTTTTTTTCTTTTTGTTAATCAACAAAAATAATAACAACAACAAAATACTTTCATATGCAGTCATTTATATATTTTGTTGTTTCTATTTTTTTAATTAATTTTTTTCAATGAATTCGAATTAAATTTAAACAAAATCTATATTTTATTTTTTTCATATATATTAAAAAAACTATCACAATAATAATATACATACATGTATTTAAAGAAACAACAACAAAACAAAAAAATGACACCTCATTATACCTGCAGGTTAAATACATTAAAAAAACATATTTGCATACCAATAATTATTTTTTAAAAATTAAAACACAACAACAAGTTAAACAATACTGGAAATAAAAATGAATTACAAATGAATAATATATTGCATACAAAAAGAATGAGAAGCAGAAGAAACCAACAAAACAAAAATTGAAGCAAACAAAAAAACTAATAATTTATAAAATTAGTAAATAATATATTAGTAATATTATAAAAATACAACATGTGGAAACAGCAAAATAACAACAACCAACCAATCTGCTCAAATCATACAAAACATATTCAATACCACTCAAATAATAACAATAACCAACTCCCTTCCATTACAACACAAAATGATTCAAAACAAAACATGCTGAGCTCTACTGTTATTAATTGTAAAGGAACATGACGTCATTATCAACACAACAAAATAGCCTGTTTCTTTATTTTTGTACAATGGTTCTACTATTTATTGTCAAATAAATAAATAAAGCCGAAACACAAGAATAAACCTCAAAACTCCACAAAGTGAATAAAAAATAAAGAAAAACAAATAGTTTTGTAAAGCTTAACATATAAAAATACAAAACAAAGAGAATTATATATATTTAATTATATCATATAAAACAATAACAAACAACAATATTAAAAAAATAGAAAATATGCCTATATAACCAACCAACTCTCCATGTATGTATGATTTCTTTTCCAATGATTTCATAAACCAAAAAAAAAAGGAAAAATACCCCCCTTCCCCACAAACAAAAAAATGTTATAATTTCATTTTTCAAGCATCTCAACATTAGAAAAAAAATAACATTTATTTTTTTAATGAAAAAAAAACAATGTTGTGTTTTAGCATTAATTAAAAAATACTTAGTTTCATTTGATTTCTTTATAAAAACCCTCTATTATAATTAGATTTATTATATATTTTTTTTTCAATTTGAATAATAATTTGTAATATTGAAATATATTTTTCTCTTACCTATATTTTTATTATTATAAACAACAACTCAAAAAAAAAAAAAAAAAAAAAAACAAGAGAGGAAAAAAAACAAATAAGTAAACTTTTCTATATTTTAATGATTAGAGAAAAATGCCATTTTTTATAAATAATAAATAAATGAAAAACAAAACAGACAATTTTGAAGAAAAATAGCAAAAAACAAATATATTGTGTTTTAATTTATCCTTAGGTTTTAAACTGTGAAAAATACTTTTAAATGGGAATTGTACTAACCACCGACCTGTATTGACAATTTTTCCACAGAGGTTTCATATTGCAAAATTATCGGCGGTATCTCTCAGAATATCTTGGAAAAGTTGCATAATATGCATCTCGGTTTTTCCTGATTGCGACATTTTATAGGGCAAATTTAGTTCTCTACTGTTTTTAAGTGTTAGGTGCAAACTGAAATGATTTTTTTCGTTTTCGCTTTTTCTGGACGAAGTTTCGATTTAAGAAAATTTGGTTGGTGTTCTCACCTGAATGAAAGGGGAAATGTGAATCTGAATATTTAAAAAACAAAACTATCCCTAATAGGACGTTAAAATTATACTGGATTTAGTAAAACCAGTGGATTTAAATGATCAATTCCAAACCTTCAAAAAGTTATAATGTAAATATCGTTTAATATTTATTCTGCGACTATTTTGAATATGATAAGTATTAATTATTTATACATATGGTGTGTCTGGTTACTTTTCCAGTAATATTTTTTCAGTAAGTTCTAGTTCAGAGAGTAAGCCTTTCTTACTCTCTTTTGCGATAATACTGAAAAAATTAAACCGACAACATTTAATAAGATTTAGCAAATAAACAGCTGATTCAAGAAAACATTTGATTTGCACCAAAATAAACAACAAACAAAGGACGAACACAATTTTTTGTATTGCATTTAATATTAAAAATAAAATGAATAATAAAAGAAAAATTTATCTGGTAAGTTCCCCGGGAACATTTAAGCTCCCTGTATCAATACATTGCCCTCGATCTAGAACTTGCCTAAAAATATATAAGGAATTAGTTTCTAATTTAATGAAACTTTGCATTACTTACGAATTTTCTTTCATTTTCTGTAATTAACTTCAAATTGAACTTTGCAAATTAAAAAAAATGTTTTAAATAATTTTTGTGTTTGGTCAGAAAACAGCTGATCAGAAAATGAGTTGCAAAATCTTACGGAATAAAATTCTTTCAGTAAACTCCAGCAACTTTGTTGTTGTTCAACTGTCAAACTTGCTCTCTCACTTGACTCTCTTTTACTGGATTTTTGTGTAAACAGACAACATTTAGTAACATTTGGTAACAATTGTTACCAAATATCGAGTTAACAGACAGAGCTATACTATTCTATATATTCGCTAGGGAGAGATCTCGATTGTGAAAAATTATTCGCTTTCACATTCTCGCCTTATAGTACGTTTACATTTAACCAGATTTGCCAATTCCTTTGCATATATGTCAAATAAATCCTCATAAAGTAGGTTACCGGGTTAACCTAAAGTTCTAATGCCATAATGTAATTAAAGTTGTAATGTGTGTTGCCCCATTGTCACTTAATTTTGTAATATTTTTCAATATTTTATTTATTTACTTGTTTTTAATTGTTAAGGGAGAACAAAATTCTTTTTTTTGTCTCGATTATTTGTCAAAATTTTCCATATCATATTTCAAATGGTTGGCAACACTGCACATCAAATTCATGTAGAAATTACCCTCTTTGACAGTTAATTAAGACATCAGCTGAGCTAAATAGACTACCTATTCATTGTGCCATGTTTTGATGCATGACATAAGTTTCTTTCCAGAATCTAAAAGATTCTACTCGTTTTACATGTTTTGCAACTTTTTACTCGAAAACCGTTCCTCAATCCACAAAACTGGTAAAACATTGACTCAAATTTAAGAGAGCACAAACTTTTTACTCGAGAAATTTGGTCGAGTAAAAATGGTAAACAGGAATGCCTACTTCTGATTGGCTGTTATGTTGATTTTGAAGTATTGCCATCTAATGTTGGCATATTTACTAGAATTGCGTTCCCGAACTTTTCAAATTATTTTGTACTCTGTTTCCCTTTTACTAGATTTACTATTAAAAAAGTACTGGAACAGACCAATAATTATACAAGGTAGTCTCATTTGAGAAATTGATACTGGCAAACCTTAATATGGAATTCATATATCAATTTCAAATAAAATGAAAAATAAATTCTATAAATGTTACGCATGGCAATTGGCAAATTTTTAACATAAAAAAAAATATTTTTTAAAGCTCCAGAAATGGCTAAGACTGTTGGAATTTGTATTTATAGGTTTTAACTTAAAACTTAACTTAAAAATATTAATAAATATAAATGATTCAAAAATTTTACCACTGGACACAATATTTGCATACATTTCGAAGGAAGAATTTAAATTTGGAAAGCTTAATGTTGTCAAAAGGAAATTTATGAAAAAATTGGAAACATATGACTGTATGGGACTACCTTGTATATTTATGCCATGGTTTTGATGCAACAACTACAACATATTACAAATAAAATTATTTTTTTTATGATGACATAAAATATCTATTTCTAGCAGTATTATTGTTCATTCACAGTTTTTATTTGATTTCCTTGTGACGTGTAATCCAGGAAAAAGTTCTAATGTACTAATTGTGTGTGTAACCCACTTAATATTAAAACACTTCACGCCGTTGAATCGCTGAACAAAGACATCATGATGACGCCGTTAGTTGTTACGTTGACTTTGTAAACTATACTGCCGTTTTGTCAGTTGTCAGTCAATAAGAAGAAGAGAAGTTGAAGAATCGAGCAATAGAAAGGAAATTTTTACGTGCAATTATTTACATTAATTATTTTCTATTATAATTATTAATGCAAATTCTGCATCCGTGTGGAGGAAGGATAACAACCTGATACGTTTTTGCTAACGATTTGGATAAACGAATTAGAAACGGTACAAAGAAACAAAGTCAATCAATTCCCGTATTGGGGAAAAAATAATTATTGAAAGAAAATCAATTTTGTGTGTGAGTGAGTAATAATATGAATGTGTGTGGTGGTGGTGATGATGATGAATGAGTGAGAGAGTGAGGCAAACGCGCAGCAGAAGATTTCAAATCTAAAAATATTTCTTTTTTTCCTCAAAAAAGCAGCAGCATATATTTTGCAAAAAAGAAAAAAAAAATCTGACATATAGTCTTTTGCATACACAATCAACCAAGCAGCCAGCTATCCATTGGTTTATTCTTCAATTGAATTGAATTAAATTCGTTATTGGAATATTTTTTTGTGGAAGCGGAAGAGGAAAAACATTTAAACATGGTCTTGAAAGTTTACATCAGTGGAATGTCTGGCAACAAGGAGGTAAGTGGTGGTGATGATGATGTTGTTTTTGTTATTTTCTTTTTTTTATTATTTTGGTGGTGGTGGTATGTATATTCCATCATCATTCACAATGACAACAACGACGATGATGATGATGGTGGTGCTTGAAAAGAAGACAATTATGATGATTTTATGTGGGCGGGGCAATAACAAATACCCTGTCAGTCATTCAGTAAATCGTTGAACATGTTGTTTTGTAATGAACAATGACAATGGACGGACTGGTGGCTATGTTAATTAAACAAAAAGGCCATTCTTTTGTTTGGAAAAGGGGTTTTTCTCCTATGCCATTGTAAAGGGTGCGTATTTTCATATAATATATTTTCTGAAATCTAAGATTAATTTTAATAATCTGATAATGTCATGGCTATATTATATTTTATATACCCCCAGTGTCACTCAACTTTCTTTATCACAAAAGAAAAAAAAAAATAATAATTATTTATTATTGACAAAGAGAATAAATTTTTCTAGAACACCACCAATTAATGGATGGATATCCGTTGGGGGTTTCTTCTTTCTTTCCTTTCTGGCCATTATATTTGGTTGAAGTCAAAAAACTGGTTTTTGTAAAGTGTGTGTTTGTGTGCCTATATATTCTACATGACATACATACAAACAAACAAACATGTTCTGCTATGTAAGCTTAAAGGCCCCCAAACATTTGTGTAATTTATGGTACATATGTATGTATGTTTATTTTATCTAGTTGATTCGAATCAAAACAACAAAATCTGTTTGTGGTTTGTTTAGATTAAACATACAAAACTTAATAGAAACGTTATCACTACATACATATATGTAGGCATGATCTTGTGTATATATAGTGATACTTTTTTGTTTACTCTACAAGAACATTCACACTTGTCCCACATCCATACATTATTTATACCGGCTTTATTTTGAAATAACACTTCTTTTTTTAAGAACATTTCGTATTGTATGTGTGTGTATTTAGAAAGTAGCTAATTCTTCGTCTACATAGATTTGGGTGGTATGTCGTGTATTCGAAACGTTTCTGAGAATAATCCATTCATAAAAAAGAATATTAATAAAATACTACTGCTATTCGTTATAGTAAACTGTTAGTTTGATATGACGTCATATTAACTGGATTTTTCATCCTAGGGCAGGTGTAGTAAATGTGTGTCATTTAATGTTGGAGGTATTCTTAGAAGTCATGAACAGGCATAAATAAACAAGACTTGATTGATCAATTGTAAGGCACATTCCATTATCATTTTGAGATTTCTACCACATTTTTACATTTTATTTCTCATGACCATAATTCCGGGAGAAATGGAGCTTCCATGTTCCTTGCGTTTCTTCTAAAGTTAAAAATTAACTACATACATATGTTTTTATGGGCATTGAAATGATGCTTCTGTGACATAGCCTTTGTTGGCAACTGACCACAGTAGAATGTTCTAAACTCCGGGTCAACCATTAACAAGTGAAAAAGGTGTTAAGTTCGTCCGGGCCGAACTTTGGATAGGGTCTAGGACTAGGACTAGGAGATTGTATATAGGGTCTAGGACTAAATGCGGGCCGATATATGTTATTCTCCTGACGTTCTAGATTTTTATCACGATATCCTCCAAAAGACACCCTACTTTGTAAGGTATAAACTTTCAATTTCGAGTACAGAATAGCCCCCATACTATAGCGGAATGCGGCTACACCATAGGTATACTGACACATACTTGAAATGCAACTATAGGGAACATACCAAAAAGTGAACCTATATCGATGATTCTACAAACCGATTTATGTAAACCATTTTGTACAACAAATACAAATTTCAGCAATTTTTAATGAAAACCCCAAATCGTGGAATGATATTAATATACAATCCTCAAACCACTGCAATTTAGATTACATAGTGTAGGAATTAGCGAATATTTGTTGTTATAATTATATGAGGGCTATGTCTAATTAATGACCGACATATGCCAACTACGAACCCAATATTTTTGTTTTGTGTCTCAATTCTTTCCTTCAGGCCGATATATTTCATTATCGTCAGGTTCGAGTTTTTTATCACGATTTCATTAGAAAGCGTAATTATTACAACCGATGACTAAATCGTTTTAGAATTCCATAATTTGTAGGATAAAACTGACTATTTCGAGTAACAACTATCCCCTATACTATGGTAAAATACACCTATATGGGGACAACCCCTACACACGGAACAAATCAGCTAACTATTTTAATATAAGAAGGGGGTTATATGGGAACACGTTTAAAATCACCCAAAATACCGAAAATTGAAGGGTACCGTTAAATGGGGGCTACCCAGAAAAAGTGAACCAATATTTATAATTTGGTATCCAATGAGAACCCAATGTGCCGAATTTTAGCGTATTGGCGCGAAAAACGCTCTCTGGAAACTCAAAATACAGAAAATTTGGGGGTACCCTTATATGGGGGCTATATCTAAACGTGAACCGATATAGCTCACATTCCAGCAGACAAACGACAACCCAATGCAAAATTTCAGCACCCTATCCAAATTCCTTCAGAAGAAACTACGAACTACTTTATTTCAACATGTTCTCGGTAAGTATGGTGGAGCCACATCTTAGCCATTCAATCCGTTCCAAATACGAATTGGTTTGTCGAGGCAGCTGGATGTCATTAAAATAAATTTATATTTTTCCCACCAGTATTTTCCATCATATGGATGTTAAAGTGTATATTAAAGAATATACATATTAAATTAGTCGTTCTGTTTGCAACAGCCCTTAAAAAATTCGTCGAAGAAAATTTTCTTGATGACAATCATATTCTTTCGAATTAGTCATGACGTTCTGCATTGCTCCCATTATAGATCTAGCCCCCATTTAGAAGAGGATTATAATGTAGGTTCATAGCTTTTCTATAAGTATGCCGATCGAATGTAGTTATTATATTCTATAGGCTATTCTATATATTATATTCTATAGGCTATTGTGTCGATTTTAGACCAATTATTCCAACATTTCATGAAAATTCCAGAAAATGTTTGAATTTCAATTTGGTCATGTACTGATCAAAATAATGAATTGGCCCATTGTTCTGTCCTGACAATTACACAAATATATGTAAAGGCGGAGGATTCCTATTTGGGTCATGGTTAAATTGAAGGAGTATACAAAATTCTATGACCTACAAATATGTTTAAAGGTATTTTTGGAAAGGGTGTAAATATGTTTCAGGGACCATGTGTGTATTACAATTTTTAACAAATATGTTGCAACGATGACATTGTTGTTAGAAGTATGTTTGCCTGTTACAATCGTAAAGGCTGAGTTCTGACAAATTTCATTACTACTCCATTGCCTTGGACCTTTATTTACATCCAAAACCAATTTTAAGGACTATCGACTTGGTATGTGTCTGTAGCTTTTGTTTCGAAGGGAGCCGTAAAATCTACAATGCATTTTCTCTACATTCCTTTACGAAATCAAATTTAATTTCTAGAAGAGTGGACGTTTTTTATTTTATATTGTTAATTAACATCATAGTTGATTCATCTCCAATCTGTCGTAGGATGTGTATCAGCTAATCGCCTGCCTACTGTCTCAACAAATATCAAGTAAAACCGCCAACTATGATTCATACTCGAAAACCATTATTAGCTATTACTTGCATTAACAACAAATAAGAATTTTCTACAATTATTTTTTTCAATCTCTTCTCCTTCTTTTTTTCGAAAGAAACACGCTAAATGATTCACCAATCAATCCAACTACAAATGTCGTTTGCAAAGTTAATTTAATGATGAAGTAGTTATCAGTTTTCACCAATAGAGGTGGCATTTCTTTATCATCATTGATTGTGGATTGTGTTGTGTTCACACTTTCTTCGTCATAAACAAAAGTGGTGGTGAGGTACTGATGGTGATATCATGGTTTGTTATATAGATTGTTTTTTTGTTTTCTTCTAGTGACAACAAAATGTATAACTAGATAAGGGAATTGCTTTTTTTATCAGTTTCAACAATTAGTAAACATCAACATTATTTCACTAATTGTTTTTTCATTTTTTAGGAAATTGTTTTTTGAGATATAGATTTTTAAAAAATATATGTATATAAAGCCTTATTCTAGATATTCGCTAGAGAGAGAGAGATCAATTCAAATAAGGCGTTGACTGTAATTTCAAAGACTGGAAAATTGTCTCCAATGAACTCTTGAACATTCATGCATGCAAAAAATAGCGAATTGCAAAATTTAATACATGCCAAATGGCTATGGCTCAAACCTCTGTGTTTCCATCCTTCTTTGTTGTATCATCCATCCTGCTTATTATTGCCCTCCGATGTTGTTGTCGTCGTCGTTTCTTGTTTCTCCTCTGATTTAGTTTCATCTGTAGTTTCCTCTTTAAATATTTATATAGGAACAACATATTGATGATCCTTCTTGGTATTAAATGTTGAATTGTTTTACCTTTACTCTCCTCTTTTTTCTCGGAATCTTCTTTGGTTGCGTCATTTGTCGTATCCTTTTTAGTTTCCGAATCTGGATTCTAATCTTCACCGTAATCCGTAATCATAGAACAATTTTCTGTTCACAGCTTTAATGCAACTATCCTAAATAGGATATGAACAAAATTTGCTAGTAGAAAACTACAGGAATTCAGGTTGGAAAATTCGGCTGGGACCTTGGACATACTGAAAATGACATGACAATAACTATAACGATATATTTTTTCCGATTACAAAAGATCTGGAAGTGGTTTTATGCTTAATAACACATTTTCAAAAATAATTTTAAATTTAAAAATAAATTTCCCGAAAGTAATTAATGTGACCAATTTAAAAATAAAAATCTTGTTGTTTTTATAATTAAAAACAAAAAACAAGAAAAGGGCATCTGCCCTACCTAAAAAAAATGTTTTTCAATTTTCTCATATTTTGCTGCTTCTTTGTGTGTTTTATAGGTGAAGAAACGCCAGCAACGTGTCCTCATGATCTTGGAGAGTAAAAATATTGCATATGAGGCTATCGATATTACCGAACCCGGCCGTGAGGCTGACAAAGAATTCATGCAAAACAAATCGACCAGCAACGGGGCCACAGTCAGTGACCCAGAGCCCAGACATCCCTTGCCCCCACAAATATTCAACGACGAAGAATACTGTGGTGATTACGATGCCTTCGATATGGCCAATGAAATCGATACATTGGAACAGTTCCTGAAGGTGGCGCCACCGGTAGAAGAAACACCAGCCGCCGAAGAAAGTACAGCACAGAAAGAAGAAAATGCTGAAGCAAAAACCAATGGCACCAACGAGGAGGATGGCGAAAACAAAGAGAATGAAGGTGGACAAGAAGACGACAAAACTGCCAAGAATGCCGGTGAAGATGGCGAAAAAGCTGAGGTTTGAAACTTGTATTCTTTTGTTGTTAGCAACCAAAATAATAATGAGATCTGATGATAAAAGAATTGATCTATTTTTAAGTACATTATTGCAAAGCAAACAATAATTTTATGTTAACACATAATAACAACAACCAACAACTCTCAAATTTATAAGAATGACAGCACTACCACTTATTGCAAACAAAACAAAAAAACTATCTCACATTTACACAAAAACATTTCCACTTATTTAAAAAAACAAATCTTTAATTTTTTCCTACTAAGCAAATTGCACTTTTGTTTATCCTAGTATTTTTATTTATTATTATTTTTTTGTTATGATTTTTATTCTTTTTTTAGTTTTTATAATTTTTGATTTTTGCCTCCCATTCCATTTGACACTAAACAAAAACAAAACATTAACATCAAAAAACTATGCTTAAAGTATATTCTTATTATATACAATAATTAACTAATTACATACATACAACATAAATATACCAATTACATATATAATCTATGTAATTTTTAAAATACATACTACATAAATATATACATACATATATATATATAAAACAAAAAGACAAAAAAAAGAAACAATTTAATAAAAGTTTGTATTTTGAAAAACAAAACAAAAATTAACCCCTAACTGCAGCAGTAACGCATTTGAATATCCAAGAAAACAAAAATTAAAGCTTTAGTTATCGTAAATAACCAAGAAAATAGCAACTAGCTACCTAGTTACATACAAAATGGGAAGGGACACTTTTTTAATCCAGAGACTAGCCTTGTCTTGAGCAGGAGTCTATTTTGGGGTTCAATACACACAACTTCAAAAGCCTTAAACGTAGTTCTGGAGAACGTGCTGCTTTTTCTGTAGTGTATGGAACCTATTTCTTCTTTACATGACAATGCTCGCCCGCTCGCTCGTCCGCCTACAACGAAATTTTGGCTAAATGGCAGCTCCAAAAAACTGAAATTATCTATGCACGCGCTTTCTGTGTAATTGGAAATAAAAAAGAAAAACAAGAAAACGAAAACTTCATCACACACAGAATGACTCCGGTCATCATCATAATTCTGTAAGCAATTCCATGCCTGGACTCAATCGAATGAAAAAGGAGAACTAACCTGACAAATGTTTCTCTTTTTTATTTATTTATTTGTGTTTGCTCTCGTTGCTCTCTCTTCGAACTACAATTTTAATAACTATTCCACCTCTGTCGCTGTGGCTCTTCTTTGCCTTATTGTGCTTGCTTCCTTTCCTCTCTATCTCTATATTGCTGTCGCCCTCTCTCTGTCTGTCTCTCTATCTTCGCTGTGTAATCTGAAAAAAAAAAAATAGCACAAATTATTGGCCAAGGCAATAATGCGCCCACCGCCATCTATGCGCCAAGCAGCAACCAAACTCATCGTAGTAATGAAAGTTTCAATAAAATTTTTAAAGAATGCTGATGACAAATCAGAGACCAAAGAAAATGGCGAAGATAATGAGAATCCTGATTCGGAAACTAAAAAGGATACGACAGATAATACAACAACCAAAGAAGATTCCGAGAAAACCGAGAAGAAGGAGGAGAGTAAAGGTAAAACAATTCAACATTTCATTCTCAAAATACCAAGAAGGATCATCAATATTTTGTTGCTTACTATATATTTAAAGAGGAAACTACTGATGAAAATAAATCAGAGGAGGAGAAACAAGAAACGACGACAACAACAACAACGGAGGGCAATGATGAGCAGGATGATACAACAAAGAAAGATGGAAACACAGAGGTTTGAGCCACTACCATTTGGCATGTTTTAAATTTTGCTATTCGCTATTTGTTGCATGAATGTTCAAGAGTTCATTGGTGACAGTTTTCCAGACTTTGAAATTACAGCCAACGTCTTATTAAAAAAAAATTACTCAAAAAGTAATAGCCTTAGGGGGAAAACATATAAGAGGACTTCAAGATTGGCATGTTTAGTTGCTTCTTTTATTGTAAAAGAATAAAGGAGAACGGCGTTAATATTCATGTTTGACTCTTTTATTCCTTTATAAATTAACATTTAATACAAATCCAAATTAACAGGCCAAACCTGAATCCTCCTATGTGTTTCTCTCTTTATTCTGGATCAATCAATTCGCCGTGAATTTGTTCGCTCTTCCCTTTAAAGTTATTCTGAGCCAGAACTCGCAGCGATTTGTTTCGGGGAAAGTGAAACCCCCATTTTCTGAATCAAGTTCAAAGGTTGCAGGGTGTGGGAGAATGTGATGACATTTTGTGCGAAATGTTTCGCTAATAAATCTAAAGGGAGCTGCTGACTACAAAAATATAAGTAATAAATATTTTTATGAAAAATATCTCCTCAATAGTTATTCTGTGACTATTTTGAATATTTTAAATGGTTGTATGCATGTTTTTTAAATCAAAAACAACGTATCGAAATGCCATTGGAAATCCTATTGATAACTATGTGCGCTCAATCAAATATTGCCACAGAAAGAATAAAGGCAATAAGAAGGAATATTTACGCCGAGTTTGATGCAAATTTGTAGACGAAAGGTTCTGTTTCTCCAGAAAAAAATATTAAAAATTATAGAAAACCCACAGAGCCAAATTTGCCTGATGAGCCGCTTAACAGTGAAAAACTCAAATAAAAATTTCGAAAGAAAGAACAAAAAAATATTTGTTCTTTCAAATTTATTATTAGCACTTTAAAAATTTGGGGAGATAAAATATAGAAATTAAATAAAAAGGCACACAATTATGTAGTGAAATAATAAACTTCGAATTAATTCAATTCAGTCGCAGACTTCTTCCCATTGGTTCGTTGTGTCTTTGACATCGTTCATCATAAAAAAATCGTTCTTTTATTTGTAATTTGTTGTAGTTGTTGCAACAAAACAATAAACAACTATTTGCTTTTGAATTGCAAAGCAGTTTTATAGCGGATTCTTGATATTACACATTAATATTGTTATAAAGTTTAACTTAATAATAAAAAGTAACAATATTAAAAATAAAAACAAATAAAATATTGAAAAATATTACAACATTAAATTACAATGGGGCAACACACTTTAAAACTCAAATTACAATACAGCAACACGAATCTTTTTTCAACAAACCACCATTTTCGAAAATTATAATTCGCATCTCGCATTTCTTTGCTTCTCCCTATTCATTCAGAATAAGGCGAGATTGTGAAAGCGAACATTTTTTTCACAAACGTGATCTCTCCCTATCGAATATCCAGAATAAGGATGAATGTTTTTCCAATAAATATCCAGGTCGTGGATTTTTTTAAAAATATTTTTCAACAAATATCCAAGGCGTGAATTTGTTACAAATTGAAATTAAATCTGTTTAATGGAACCACAATCAACTTTCATCGTCAGAATAATGCATGAACTTCTTAGTAGAATATTGGCTAACCATTAACACCAACGAATTTGCATGTTGTTTCTTGTTTAAATTTGAATTCCAGATGTTGTGAACACTGCTGCAAGTACATGTTGTGCCCTCCTATAACCTTTTGACTACCACTTGATTACATTTATATAATTTCATTTTCATTCCATTTCCCTCCCACAATCATCGTATGCACTTTACACATTCACACACAAACACGCACACACCTTCAGAATGATGATACCGATGGCCAAGAAAAAGAAAAGAAGGTAGTTGAATCCGAAGAGGTCACCGAAGAAAAGAAGGAGGATGAAACTACTAAAGAAGACGAAGAGGAGAAAAAGGACGAAACAGATTCTTCGGAAAAGAAATCCGATGAAAAGCAAAATGCTGAGGAGGATAAGGATAACAAGGAAGCTGAAAATGTAGATAAGAAGGATGAAACAGACTCAGCTGAAACCAAATCCGAGGAGAAAGAAGATGGTGAAGAACAGGAGGAGGAAGGTGAATCCAGTGACGATGAAGATAAGAAAAATGATGAATCGGATTCAACGGAAAAGAATACGGAAGTAAAGGAAGATGGAAAGAAAAAGGAAGAATCTGAAAATGAAGAAAACAAGGATGAAACGGATTCCGGAGAAAAGGAAACAAATGCAAGCGAAGAAACTAAAGATGAAACAACTACAAATGAGGAAGCTGATGTTAAAACTGAAACTGAAAAAGATGAAACCAAAAATCAAGAAGTAGATGATAAAGATAAAACTACCGAAAGCGAGGAAGTTAATGAGGAAAAAGTAGAGGGCGAAGTTAAAGAATCTGAAAAAGAAGAAGATGTAACAGTAATAGAAGAAGAATCCAAAGAGAAGGAGGAAGAAGAAAAGAATGATGAAGACGTGAAAGAAACCAAAGAAGAAGCAAGTGATAAGGAAGAAACCATTAATGAAAAGGTAACTGAAGATGTTGAAGAAAAGAGCGAAGAAACATCGGAAAGTCCCAAGGAAGAAGAGGATCAACAAAATGATGATAGCCAAAATGATTCTAAAGTCGAAAAATCATCAGAAGAAACGGATGCTAAAGATGACGAGAAAAAACCAGAAGACGAAGAAAAATAAGTCGGTTTTTATAACAGAAAAATAAAACCAAACTAATTTAACAAGATGACGCTTATCAGCCAAAGATATTATTCATGACTGATTTCATATGAACCTACAACTACTACTCTACAGCTACTATCTAACTCATAATTTGTATCCTAATTTAAATATCATTTGCAAACGTTGTCTTCTACTTTTTCTTTACACAACATAGTACCCCACCCTATTCTATCTATCTGCACCATTTTAATGTGACCAGAGGAGCAGAATACATTTTTTATACACCGAACACAATTTACACAACAATGTTTGTTTTTTTATAACAATATCCCCCTACATTATCCTTTGTAAATATGTGTGTATGCAATAATAATAAACAAAAAAATTTTTGAAAATTATATAAAACAAATAAATAAACTCTACATATAATTTGATTGTATTTTGAAATTTTGTTTTATATATTTAATGTCCTTTTTTAAAAATGTAACTTTCATATATGAGTCTGTAATTTATTCATTTATTTTTTCAATTTATTTCAATTATATGATGCCCAGTCTTTCTAACATACGGCTTTAAATTGAATTTTTAATTCATTGTTGATAAACTAAAAATACAATCAAATTCTAAATTTCCCCATCCCTATTTCAGCTGGCGATACATAAATAAACCATGTAAATATCTAGAAGAAGAGCATTGTACGATTTTGCTAATTACATTTCGGGCTCAGTTATATATTTAAGGTGTAAATTTGACTTCGAATCCATTTTCTAATATTCAAAATTTGACTTTTTCAACAAATATCCAAGGCGGGGATTTAAAAAACCAATCCAAGAACCGATATCCAAGAAAAGGATTTAAAAAATAATTTCTAAAAATATCAGTGTGCAGGTTAGGTTAGGGATGTACGGTTGTTAACGTGGTTTTACATTTATCGGGATCGGTGTTGAGAGTTTCTCTCTCTCTCTCAGTGGTACATTGTGAATTGTGTTGGAAAACATTACCTCAGGTAGGAACAAAAAAGTACGAAATCCTACTTCAAATGGTAATAAATCATAATTATCGAAAAATATTGGCCAATATTTATACCAGTTATTTGTATAAATAATATATGTTATAATTTAAGCGTAAATGTATTCACGAATAATGAAAAAATCTCATTTTTGTTTTGGTACGTTTATGTCAATTCGTACCTTTTGTGAACAAAAAGTGCGCTTGTTACAAAATTAAAAATAGCGCAACTCTAATTACTCTCTCAAGAGAGAGAAACTCTCAACACCGATCCCGACAAATGTAAAACCACGCTTAGTGTGGTTTTATATTTGTCGGGATCGGGATCGGTGTTGAGAGTTTCTCTCTCTTGAGAGAGTAATTAGAGTTGCGCTATTTTTAATTTTGTAACAAGCGTACTTTTTGTTCACAAAAGGTACGAATTGACATAAACGTACCAAAACAAAAATTATATTTTTTATTATTCGTGAATACATTTACGCTTAAATTATAACATATATTATTTATGCAAACAACTGGTATAAATATTGGCCAATATTTCTAGATAATTATGATTTATTATCATTTGAAGTATAATTTTAGGTACCTTTTCGTACTTTTTTGTTCCTACCTGTGGCAATGTTTTCCAACACAATTCACAATTTACCACTGAGAGAGAGAGAGACTCTCAACACCGATCCCGATCCCGGCAAATATAAAACCACGCTTAGTAACAACCGTCCACTCGGAGACTAATGTCCATTGTGATCAAGGAGAAAAGATTGCGAGAGAAGATCTTGCATTGACCTGTTATGATCCCCACAATGATTTTCTCTCTCTCTCTCTTATTGTGTGCCAGCAGCGAAGTGTGGTTTTATATTTGTCGGGATCGGGATCGGTGTTGAGAGTTTCTCTCACTCTCAGTGGTAAATTGTGAATTGTGTTGGAAAACATTACCACAGGTAGGAATAAAAAGTACGAAAAGGTACCTAAAATTATACTTCAAATGATAATAAATCATAATTATCGAGAAATATTGGCCAATATTTATACCAATTATTTGCATAAATAATATATGTTATAATTTAAGCGTAAATGTATTCACGAATAATAAAAAAATCTAATTTTTGTTTTGGTACGTTTATGTCAATTCGTACCTTTTGTGAACAAAAAGTACGCTTGTTACAAAGTTAAAAATAGCGCAACTCTAATTACTCTCTCAAGAGAGAGAAACTCTCAACACCGATCCCGATCCCGACAAATATAAAACCACGCGAAGACGTTCTTTTGCGAGAGAATTCAAGCCATATAGATTTTGAGATTCTGCAATCAGGTTCAACCATCTGTTGCCGACTTCCTCGCAGTAGAACGGGCGGATTCTGCAGGACTTTGTTTTCAAATAATATCCAAGGGGAGAATTTTAAAAATATTTTTTGTTTTTGCGGATCCACAACGAATTGCATTCGGGTGCATTTTTACGACGCCAGGGAATTATCAATGACATCATGGATGCCACGCCGATAGCACACTTAATATAGCCTTTGGGCAGACTTCGCCCATCTTCTAGGCTGTCAGGTTCCCAATCATGGAAAATAAATTGAATTAACGTAAAGAGCTTGAAATATAATCAGCAAACCCCAATGTTTTTAGGTATACTTAAAACAATAACACGAATGAATTAAACTCAAATTTATGTATCGCCAAAATTCCAATTTAAATTTGCATATAAAAAAATTCTCATTCACTTTTATATAAAATCTATTTTATATCTAGATTTCTAAACAACATCAACTGGAACCAAAAGAACAACAAGAAAATGCACAAAGTCTCCCCGTCAATACCCAGAAAGATGTCTCAAAAAACATTGTGGATCAATTCATAGAAAATGAACAAAAAGCAACTGCTAACTGAATTATGTGGAACTTGTTGCAGCAGTGGTATTGAGAAGAAGACGATATAATTATAGATACAGCATCCGTGGTTGCACAGAAGCCAGTATTGTACATCCAAACGTATAATTAAAAATAAATAAAAACACAATTTTATATACATTAATTTCTTTTCATTTTCTTCTTTAAATTAATAAAATGATTTCTTTATTACAAAACTAGTAAAAATGCTTAATTGATTTTAACTATAACTCAACACACAAGTTTTTTTAGCATTTTATTCCGTATGTGTTTTTCTCTTCTTCACATTTATCGATTTTTTCCCACTGGTTTTGTCATGTTTTACAAAAAAAAAAAGAGCGAATAGAAAATTTATAAAAAAACAAATAATTGTCTAAATAAAGTAGACGACATATCCCCCAAAACAATTTTGTTTTGTTGCATTTTAATGGAATTATATAGACATATGGGGGTGGTGAATATACTTAAATTCCCCTCCTCTAGATGCTTTATGAAAAGAATAATGATTTGTTTGTTTCGTACATATAAAAAATTAGTTGCTGTTCAATTTGTTATAGGAGGGAGAATCTTGAATGAGAGTTTTTTTGTGGAAAGAGGATGGATGCTTGTTTGGTTAATTCGTGGTGGTGGTGGTGGGTTCTTTGTCCAAAACAATTCTAGTTTACTCGGAATCTTCTTCATCAGAAGTATCAGTCGTATAGTCGTCATAATTTTCTGGTTGATCATTGTTTTCATGTTCCGATTCACTTAGATCCCATTGTGGATGATCTGTTGGTGGTGCTGGTGCCTTTTTAACATCCAATTTAAGCTCTTGTTGTTGATCCATGCCAAGATATGAATCTGAAATAAAAAAAACACATAAATAAAATAGTTATTTTATGTTCGCAATAAATTAACATTATTATTTGTTTATTTATTTTACAATTCCCAAGTCCGAAGACCAGATTTAGGAAATTGACAATCGACAGGCTATACCCTATGATTACAGTGCAAGTTTAAAAAAGGCGGCCCAATTTGTTTAAGGGTCTAAATCACAAATGTGAATTATCAGATTTTTTTTTTTAATTACGTCTTGTAAAGGCCCGGAAAAATGCAATTTAAAAATTTAAACCTTTGGATTAAATAATTTACAAAACAAAATATATTCAAAAACTAATGCTTTATAAATTCCTAGTCCAAGTAATTTTTTTTAATCCACACTGTGTTATGTCTTTGAAAAATATACATCAACATTATATTTAAAAGCTCTGACATAATATGTTAAGAAACGTCTTTAAAAAATGCTCCACGTTTTGTAATTTGCATTTAAACAAAATATATTTCCTTTGTAAAGTTTTTGAAAAAGAAAATATTTTCCTAATATTCAAATCATATATATTATCTCTTTCTTTACATACCTGAACGCAGACACACTGTAAATGTATAGACACCTGGCCAACGTGGAGCTGTGAACTTCAATTGAATTTCCTCACGTTCAACCAGATTTGTGACATGATAGGGTGCTGTCAAAAGTGTACGTGATTTACGATCACAGATATATGTCCACCAATATTCTTGTTTCTCTTCGGGGAAGTAGGGACAGTGAACAGTGTGCGATATGCGTGATTTGCCTTCAAGTTTTTCACGTTTATTTAATTTGGCCTGTAACCTTTCCCACTCTTCGTCGTCGTCATCGTCCAGGGAAGAATTGTTCTTAGTTTGTTTCTCATTCTCTTCCTCGCTGTCTGAAATTGATTCCTTCTCTTCGACATCGCTAGCATCGGCATCAGAATCAGCCTCTGAATCATTTTGTTGTTGCGTTTCAGCAGCGGCGGCAGCAGCAGCTTTAGTTGGAGGTGGTTGTTTCTTTTTCTGATTGGCAGCGGATTTTTTGCCTCCCTTGCCACCTTTACCCTTGCGTGGTTTAGCCCATGCTGAGGCCTTTTTAACAGGTGCTGCATTGACAGCTTCACCATCTTCATCACCGCCAGCAGCCTGTTCTTGTTCATCATCCCTAAAGAAATCAAATGCAAAAATAAATTAAAAAATGATCATCACTCACTCAAATTTGAGAATTGTCGCTTACTTAATGCCCTGCTTTTGTGGAACCTTGGAATCACCAAATAATGTCTTCATATCTTTGCGTACCAGTGTGACGGTAACGGTTACAATAGCACCAGCTGTCACCACATTGGTATTCTCGTCGTCAATGACTTCACAGCGTATTGAAAAATCAATTAGAGGCATCTTGCCCAACACTTTCATAACGTTTTCGTATTCAAAATCACTTAAACTCTTCAATAGTTGGCGACTTTCCTCCGGGGCCAATTGTGCGAATTGTTGAAGATTTTTAATATGCTTCTTCTTGTTCATAAAATACAAATGATCATCGGTGATGTGGGGCAATTGCAGCAGGGGAGATTTAAATTCCCATAATGCTTGTATAATCATTGGTGACATCTTCATGCAGTTTTCAATCGTTTCAATACTGGGTAAACGTGGTACGCGTCTAGCGTATGCCAACATTACCAATTGATGGACACAGGATACCATTTCTTGTACCAAATATGGGCATTTCTTAACAATAAATTGGCGATCTTTTTCCAACGTTTCAGGATTCAACGGCAAACGGGATAGATGGGCGTGTAGAATGGCGCGTGTTTTAATGGAATACATACGACACAATGGATGTTCCTTGCATTTTTCATTTAAATTGGGTAATTGTCTGATAAGCTGGGAGAAAAAAGAAAATAAAAATAAAATGTTAGTTTGCTGCATTGAAATTTAAAAAATTTAAAATTTAAAAAATTATGCGGTTTTAATCGCACCATTTTGTGATAGTTATAATGTTGAGTAATATCAAAAACCAACCACTCAAAAAATAATAATAGTGGAAAATCCACTTTAATCAATTTATTATTCATGATTCTATCTCTATGTCCACTAAACTGGATAATGCGTGAAAAATGTTTTTAAAAATAAAATTAAAGACGTACGCCTCTCATAATTCTTGTCGGATAAAAAGGTAAGGCATTAATAGTCCTACTTTTTTTAATTTCCTAATGTCCTTCATGGTTTACGCTACTTAATTAATGGTATAAATACATCAAAATATACTTACTGCCGGAACTTCTTCATTATCCGATTGACGTTCAACAACTTGTGAATTGTGGCGTTTGTCAAATTCCAAACTGGCTGCCAACACCATAAGGGCGCGCTTCAGCAACATATGTGGAGTTTTGTGTATAAAGTAGAAATACATCTGCGTTGTATCCAACAGAACTTTATCACCCGAGTAACGAATTGAACGGTACCACCACATACCCACAACCGAGGGTAATGCTACCATAAATATCAAACCGTATAGACCTAAAACCCATACTGAGTTTTCCTTCTCAACGATCCACGAGGGCAGAGCAATACCAAATGACATAGCACCAGGGCCATCGGGATTGCCATATTTTTCATAATTGACTTTGGCAACTTCATCTGTTAATGCCTGATAGGCTTTAGACAGCATCATGAAAGCCTTTTCATCACCAGTCTCCTTATCCGGATGCAGAACCAAGGATAATTTGTGGTATGCTTTCTTTATTTCAGCCTTTGAGGCAGTTGGTTCTACCTTCAAAATTTCAAATGGATCAAAGCTTGCCATTTCATAGTCAAATTGGGAAACACGATATGCGAGGAAAATTAGAAGAGCCCATCCCAAAACAAGCGACAAACGTATGGCCAGATTTTTTAGCGCCCGGTATGGTTCGGCTGTGGCCAAAATGGCTTTTTTCTTCATACAATCGGGACATTGACATTCCTCCTTTATCTTCTCGGGATCTGAAAAAAAGAAAGTAGACCATCAATAATACTTCACTTTTCTGCTTTTTGTAATCCAAAAAACAGTTGTTAAAATATATTCAGAATAGTGGAGAGAAATGGCTACAAAAGATTAAGACACGTTTTAATTACATATAGGTACTTAATTGTTACCATGAAGCAGTAAAACTTTTTCAATAGCAGGTGGCAGACAACACCTCTCACATTAAAACAATTCAGTGAGTGATCTCTACAAAAAAATTACTCGCCACACACAGAACACAAACACATGTAAAGGCGGCTAGGAAAATGCGCTCTCATCGTTTCTTAGTTTGTCGTTCGTAGAGCGAGCGCTTTCACCGTCAAGAATAAATTGAACACAGATAGAATAAATAATTGGAACGTAACCACCAGTTGTGCATACAAATACACAAAGTGTTTTCGTCATAAGCCAAAGTTAGATCTGAAACATGCCTGTCTAAGTGCCAATGCATTTACATTTCACTTATATCGGAGTACGTCACATTAACCTATATGCGCTTTAACAATAATCATCTACAACAAGACTTTCTTTATTAGAAGATAAGCCTATCGCAATTTTATTATGTGTTGCTTGGCTTTTTTGCACAATCACTACTCACCTTCTTTCTTTTTCCGGGGCCAGTAATATATGGTTGTAGGTATCAGAACGAGTGCCAGAAATGATAATAGGAAATAATAGAATGTTCCGCCACTCTCATCATATTGAAATTTTTGACCAGCCATCGCTATTGGCTACTCCTTTAAGGCCGACCGCTACCCTGTACACTGACTGCTACACAACGATTTCTGTCTGTCTCCCAAACACAACTTGTTGAACACGTATTTCAATTCCAAAATAATTTCGAGTCGCAGCTATTTGCGTATGAAACGCCGTAAATACTGTAAACGGTGCTGGTAATGACAGAAATATTAAAATTTTAAGCTATACTTCACTAAAAAAATAAACTTTTCTTTTCTCCATCCAGCCACGACAAATAATGTTCTCTTCATTTGACACGTCTCATCTTTGATGTTTGTCTAGTTAGTGCATGTAGTATTGTGAGTTAACAATCAGCTGACATATTCATCGCAGAGAATTAGTGAGACGCGTATCGTAATGCATTTCTGGGTATCGTATGTGAATGTCATTATAAAAGCATTGCCGTTTTACAGAGTACTAGTTTTTTAATAATAAATAAAAGGTGAAAGGTTTTATACAATCCTACATAGTAATGTAGGATATAGGACTGTTTATATCGAGGAAATAAATTCTATATATTTTGTCAAGTATTAAAATTATATTTTTGTCGGTCAGTTGGTATTTTTTACACAGAATCCACGCAACTGGTCAATATATTTATAATTCGGGTAGAAATTGCTCTCCATCAGTTGAAATAATTTGAAATAAATGAAAGTCATTGTATTGTTTATACATTTATTTAAGTGAATTTTATTTTATTTTTGTTTAAAAACAGCTTTGTTTTAGAAATTATCTCAATTTCGCACAGAATTTCGATGAAAATGCATCTCGTTATAGTATATGTAGCTTTAAAAAGGGAAAATGAATTATAAATTAAATTTTTCTTTGCCAAATTTGCGAATCAAAATACAAAAGAAAGAAAAAAACGTCAAAAGTGTTGAAAAAATTTTTTAATACTTGCGTATACCGCAAATTCTGAACCGGCAAAGTTTTGTTTCTCTTCCTCGCACCCCTCTCGCCTACAAACTCATAATTTGCCAAATAAAAATTTGCCTGTGGAAAATGGGACTACCTTGTGTCTCATGAAATCAAATGTTTCCAATTTTGAGAACAATATGCATCTTAAAAAATATACATTGTTATTTATTTATTTTTTAATAATTTGCCAATCAACATACAGTCGACGCCCGGTATAACGAATACTCAATTTAACGAATTCCGGATATAACGAATGAGCAAAATAATCGACTTTTTACACTGACTATCGCATATAACGAAAGTTTTTTAGATTTATATACTGGATATAACGAATGGTTAATTAATTCATTTTTTTAGAAATCCAATGAAATTATTATTTGACAAATTTTTATGTTTTGTTTGTCTTTAGACAATTCACAGAAATTGTATCTGTCTACACCAAAAAGTTCTTTGTATATACCAATTCGGCATATATATCTGCATTTCTTTCACTTTTCGCAATCATTTCCCTATTTAATACAAGTAAGAAAAATTAAAAACTAATCGATCGGTAGTACTTATTTAAATGGGCTTTAATAATACTTTTGTCACAAAATTAACAATCTGGTCGTTATGTCTATTCTGTGTTGCCATACTAAATGTCAAAGATTTATTGGCAATTTCTCACCCTCTTTATTTTCTCAATTCAATCCCAAAAAAAAACCACACACCGCATTGACGATTTTTGACATGCAACTCTGCGTGTGGCAACAAGACATAAAACATTTTTAGACGATATGGCAACATTGCATTGCAAACCATAGAATATTATAATAGAAACAAACGAAAATAATCAGAGTTTGTCAAAAGCAGAGCAAACTGCAAACGGTCTCGTATAAAAATCACAAAAAAATAACGTCAAATATTCAAAAACAACTCCAAATACGGTCGTGAACGCTTATTTAACACGTAATAAGTGAAGTGGATATTTTGGAAAATGAATTACTTAAAGTGTTATAAATTATTTGGAAAAATGTACAGATTGAAGTTGGCCGGTGAAGTGAATAAACATTTTAGTGGGACCACGGAATATGGCTGAAAAAAGTAAAGAAATTAGTGGTACCACTAATTGCACGAATACCGTAAAGCAAATGTTATGATAATGCAAAGATTAAAAGCAAATGCCAAAGTTGTTGCAACTAGACGACGATAGGCGGCGCTCGGTGTTCGTCGTCGTGCAAATGCAACCCTGCTCGAGTGGCCACTCGTACGGTGGTGGTGGAGTGTTTACGTGAGTGTATGTGTGCAAAACTAAAAAATATTGGTAATAGGTCCACACACGCCATATTTAATTTCTAACAGCAAAAAAAGCCATTTTTCGTTTAAATCAATGCAATTTTTCTCTGTGAAATTATTAAAAATGTCAACAGTTCCTTAAAGTGTGTGTGTTGATAATTGAAATCAATAAATATTTTAATAAATTGCCAAGTGTTTTCGAATTGAAAAAGGTGAGTGATAAAGAATTTTCCTGGTCGATGCGCAACAAAATGATTTTCATTTTTTCTTGTCCATACTCCTCCTCCTCTGCTATGCCATCACACATTTTAATGGCTGGCTACAAAGATGGATGATGGGGACAGACGACAATGAATTTTGTTTGATGTGATATTTTACACCAGTGGCATAGTGTTATCTAATGTGGAGAGGAGGAATATTAATTAATTGTGAATATTTGATTTTCATTTTTTCATGCATGATGATGGAATTTTTCATTGGATTCGATTTTCATATTATTTGATTTCTTCTTTTTGTTCGTGTGTTGTGTGTTGTTTCTCATAATGTTTCCCTATTTACATTTGCAGTGTTGCCAGAATGGCCCATTATTACATACAAAGCCTTGATGACAACAACATAAAACTATATACGACGGATGTCCAAGTGGTTCATGTGGCCGGCGACGATGTTGGTGTCAGTAATCCAAATAGAGCACAGGTTCATAGTTCTAAATAATACTAACACTCCTAGTATAATTTTATTCGTTATTGATTTTTCCTTTTCCATTACTTGCCATTTAACATTTCTTTTGCTTTTGGATGGTACTAGTATTGATTTTTTTATTTTGGTGATGGTCATTGTGTGTATGTGAGTGTTGTTTACAAAGGAATGCATTTTTCATTTATTTGGCAGATAATACATTTGTACGTATAAATATATTTGTACATAATGGAAAACGTTTAGATAAGAAATTTGTCAAAAACCATTTTAAATTTCTTTAAAAAATTTAATGTATTAATTCCAAATTCCATTAATCATATGAAAATTGAAAAGAATTTACCTTACATCTAAATTTTGTATCTCTTCCTGAAGAAAGCAGCACATGTAAATCAAACATGAATATACATTCAATTGATGTAGCCAGTTTATATTTATATCTTCATTCAAAGGAAGAGGAATTCGTTGGAATAATCATTTTAGCATAAATTGTTTCCTTCAGTTTGATATCAAACTAGTCCTGGCTAGTGAAAAAAATCTCCATATCGTACCGAAATTCAATAAATAAATGAAAACATGTATGTTTGTACAAAAATAAATTTAAATATTTAATTTGGTTGAATTTTTGTTTTCACTTTTATCCCCGAATGTTGTTAGTAGGTCTAATTTGTCTAATTTTTAATTACAGCAAATTGTTATGGATGATAGCTCCCAAATATTATTGCAAAATGACGGTGGACCACAGCAAGTGGTCTATCAGACACAAGCTACTCCCACACAATATCAGCCACCACAGCCAGGCCAGACATATACCATCCTGGGTGATGATATCAATCAAACACAAACACAGCAAGTTCACCAACAGCAAACCCAACAACAACAACAGACACAACAGCAGCAGCAACAACAAGCACCACCACCACCCCAGCATCAACAGCAACAACAAATTCTAATGCATCAACAACAGCAGCCGCAGCAACAGCACCAAGTTATGGATCATCAACAGCATCAAATGCAAACTACCTATCAATTGCAACCGGATCCACAACAACAGCAGCAACATATGCAGGCTCAAGAACACCAGATGCAACAGCATGTACAGGCGGCGGCACAACAACAACAGCCCCCACCACAAATTTACTACACAACCGATCAGCTGGTACACCAGCAGCAACAACAACAGCAGCAGCAAAAGAAAGTGTACATTCAACAACAGCCGCCGCCACCTCCACCCCAAACAATGCAACAACAATATCAACCACATCCCCAACAGCAAACCCATCAGCAATTTACGCATCAGCAACCACCGCCTCCCCAACAGCAAGCACAGCAACAACAACATATTTTGCAAAGTCCTCAACATCAACAGGTGCAAGTACAACACCAAGTATCTCCGGGTAACCAACAGGCCCAGCAGCAACCGCAAATCATCTATAGAATGCAACCGCAGACACTACAAACACAACAACAACTGCAGCAACAAACTCAACTACTGGGCAATGCCCAATTGATTGTCCAACCTTCGGGTCAGCAAGTTCTCATACAACAATCTCAACAACAAGAACTTATTATGCGTCAACAGCCACGTGTTGTCTATGGCAATCGCATCAACTTCACCCCCCAACAACCACCACAGCAGCAACAACAACAAGTCATAATGCAACAATCTCAGCCGCATCAGCAACAACAACACATTCAAATACAAACCAATGCCATGCACCATAATCCCACGGGGCACATGGTGCAGCAGGCCCGAGTTGTGCCACAACAACATCAGCAACAGGTTCAGCAACAACATACCCCACCACCACAACAACAAATGCAACAAAATGTTGTCTACCATCAAATACAGGTGCAAAACAATCAAATGCCCAAGCAGACAATGCAGCCGAACGCTGTGGTCCATCAACAACAACAGCAGCAGCACATGCAACAATTGCAACAGCAACAACATCCCCAACAGCAGCAGGTTCAAATGGTGGGTCAAATAAACAACCCCAATGGCGCCACCATTATACGTACTGCTGGTGTGCGAGGTGGGAAAATAGCACGTGGTGGAGTCAGTGGCACTCTTATAGCCCGCATGCAGGGTATGGGAACTGGAGTGGCTCGTTCTGTTTTCAATGCAGCCGGTACAATGGGTGGAGGTGGAGGTCAAATTTTGCGAACTCCCCGCCCACGTTGTAGTACCACGGCGGGTACCACAACCAGAGGCCGTGGTGGCAGAGGTGCTCGCGGTGCAGCAGCGGCCGCCTTAGCTGCTGGTCGTGGAGTTCAGTTGGCAACAGCAGCAGCAGGAATGAATACAAATGCCCAATTGCAAGGCAAACTTGTGGCGCCTGGAGTTCGTCAAGTGTTCCGTACTCAACATCAACTCAGCGATGGTAGTGTCCAACAACAACTTCATTTGGTGCAAGCACAACCACGAGCGCCTGGGGCAGTTGCCCGCTTTAGATCACCTGTAGTGGGGCAAGTTCAGCATCAGCAGCAACCACAACAACAGCACACAACACCACAATCATCTCCACCCTCTTCAACAAATCCCTCATCCAACTCTGGAGCATCAACATCTTCGTCACAAGCCACTGGTAATTTTGATTTAGACTTGGAAGATAGTATACAGGCAGTATTCGTTAAAAAGGATGGACAAAAGCAAAATGTGGCAGCGGTCGGAGCCAACACTGTTGCTCCCGCCGTCTCCGGGATAGCTGCACCAACGCAAAATACAACCACCAATGTGGCTGCGGCTGGAACTACTCTAACATCTTACTACGCCAAAAATCCCAATAACGACGATGATGACACACGTCTGATCAGAACACAAAATGGCACGTGTATGACATTAGCTGAGTACAAGAAACGCAATTCCACTGCTTCGGCCCAAGCTGCTGTTCAGGGTGCGAATAATGCGTCCTGTATTAAGCCACTACAACAAACACCCTCAGGTGCAAAAATATCCCTTCCAGCCGCAGGAGGTCAGTCTTTGCATACGGTTCCTGTTGCTCGGGTGGCTCCCCAAAAGCACATTGTCCCCAAGGAACAATTGAGTAGCGCGACGTCCAATAACACTACCCCAAGTCCCATACAAAATCGACCACCAGCTGGCTCGTCAGTTTATCAAACATCACACAATAATTACGAAATACAAACACAGCATGTTCTGCAGAATCGTGCGGGCCAACAAATGGCTGAAAAGGATCGTAACAGCGCAAAAATGTTGGTGATTTTGGTATCGGGAGAACAACGTTTGATAACCTTTACCCTGCCGCGAGAATCCTGTACCGTTCAAGATCTGCTCGAACAGGTGGGTGTGCCATTCGATGATAACACCACAATACAATGTGTTGAAAATCCTGGAGCAAACATAGATTTTGTTGTCACTGTTGGATTTTCGGTACAAGAATCGGCCAGCGAATTGATATCACGAGCGGAACAAAGTCTTCAAATAAGTAGACAACAAGAAAGTTTACAAAGTGCTGCGGGTCATGCTGGCAGCAACACTACTCAGGGCCAAGAGCAGCAGGGCCCGGGAATTAGTGGACAAGCTACGGCAGGTAATGCTGCTGGTGGTGCTGCAGCAGCAGCTGCTGCAAATGCTTTGTCTGCTAGCGCGTCAGCATCATCAAGTCCGGCACCCTCAGAAAGTTCTTCCTCAAATAAGGAACAGACAACGCCTGCATCGAAATTAGCCGCAACAAGTGGTAGTAAAGCACCACAAGAAGAAGGCAACAGTCAACGGAAACTTATTCAAGGTTTCTATGCCATTTGTCAGAGTTGTGGTTTCAGCGGTTATGATCATTCGAAATGTGAGCGTTGTAAGCGAGTATTTTTGGAACCACCCAAAAAGATACCCATTAAACAGGCAACTGCTGCTGGTAATTTTGGTAATCTCAATGCATCGGGATCGGATTCTTCGTTTTCTTCAATGCCTGGTGATAAAAAACAACGGCATCATAGCGATGCAGGTCAAAGGGGTAAATCGGTGGCGGGTCCCTATAATCCCAATGGATCAGCGCCAAGGGGACGGGGTGGTTCTCAAGGTGGTAGAGGACGTGGTACACGATCCGGTCGCAGAGCTGCTGAGGTGGAACCTGTTATTCTTACCCTTAGCAGTGATGAGGAAGATGATGAGTCTTCCAATAAAGGAACGGCACATGTAAGTTAATTAATGTAATTGTTATATTTTTGGTTTTAAATCTTTAGCCGGATGGACCACTGGTCAACTTGAATGATAGTTAATAAACGTATCTCCAAGAGAATTCATTCAAATGTTCAATACTAGTTGGATTAATAACAACAATTTGATTATTTTTGTAATTCACTTAAACTTTGCACTGTCATGTTGGTCAAATGGTCTGGCCTATCATGATTTATATAAGTATTTTATTTCCATCATAAATTATTTAAATATGTATAAATGTAGTGTTATAATTTGTATTTTATGATTTATTTTCCAGATGGGCCACTTTTCTAAATCTTCAATCAATTCTTCACCTGCATCGTTAATGTCTTCATATAAACCTCTTTCGTTTGAACCAAATATTCCGGAAAATGATGAAACCATCATTTACAGTGGTAAGTTAAAAATCAATTATTTTCAATTAATTATTAATTATCATTTTTGAGAAATATAAATATTTTGTATTAATGCTACGTCTTCAGTCCTACAAAAAGTATATGGGTAGCCATGCAAAATAATGAAAATGACGGTCAAGGTCAAAAGTTCCATTTCAGAAGGTAGCCACATTGAATTGATAAACTAGGTTATAAAAATACAACAAATTATTTTAGTTCTACAAGAACTAATTGCTTTTCTTTAAATTTTGATAATCTGTGGAATTTTTTTAATAATATTTTTCTTAATTAAACGAATCTGATATCTCCATCCCATTGAAAGATAAAGTAGTGTAGTTATTGTTGTTATTTCCCGGCATTTGTTAGTATTTGTTTATTTTGTACAATCTGGCAATACCACATTTGCTCTCAGTGGTACCGTATTTCATGTACTTGACTGCTATAATAAGGCTATTTGCCGCTAGGGGTCATTTCTCATTTAGAACATTCATGACATTGACAGTTGACGCCATTGTTTTCGTTGCTCCATAAAAGAAATGTGTAATAAAATAGAGTACGAAGCAAAGGTGGTAAAAGAACGAAAGGAATTGAAAACTGTATATTTTCGTAGAAAATTTCATTTTCTTCAAAAAAATTACTGTATTTCGTTGATAAGGGACATTAAAGTTAAATTTCATTAAAATGGAGTGGAATGGTAAATGAGATCATTAATTTTTGATTGTTGAAGCAGTTATTTGGCCTGCATAGAAATTGTGTGCCTGCTGCTGCTTGTTGTGTGTACTCTCCGGGGCCAATGAAGAAGAAGAAGAGGAGATACTACCAACACGTTTTCTCTTGTTTAATTTTGATCAATCCCCTTTAAATATGCATACATATTAATAAAGAATTACTTGTTTTATTTTAGATTTCAAACGTGGAGATGTAACTGATCTCTCCAATTGTAGCGATAAACTAACCTGCTCCTTGCCTTGCAAATACATACGTTTGGGAACATACTGTTTTGAACCACCCGAAGAGGTAAGTAGACATCATTCAACAATGTTGTTGGTATTTTGATTCACAAAATAATGTTTCATTCGACAATTACAGGTTGTTATAACCTCTAAAGGTGTACGCCTTGTGGCCCCCTTGGAAAGTAATCCATCGGAAACGTTCCCCTTGCACATACACAAACAGGAGGTGGTAAAAGTAATTGCCCACTTTTCAAAGACCACCGACTCAATGTTGTGTTTTTATACATTACGTACTTGTGCTCAGTATATACGCACATCATTGAAAATGCCCGATATAACACAGCCCATAGATGGAGGTAAGAGTTGTGATTTTAATTATTGTGAAGTATACATTTTGTAATTACATACGTGTTTGTTTTTTATTTCAGTTACTTATTTTTCCCCCAATGGACCCTATCAAATGCGTAAAATTATTCTACAATTTCAAACAATATCCGATCAGGCCAAAAGTGTTATACGCTCAATATGGGATTTTCTTGATGAAATTTCCGATACAGATGCCCAGGATTTGTTGCAGAGGGCAGCGGAATCTGATCGCAAAGTGGCCACAAATAAAAATAATAGGTAAGTAGATGATGATATGTTTTTATTAATTTCATTCGATTTTACATTGTATTGAAATGTAGAAGTAAATTCTTATACGTTTTTATAAACAAATCGGTATCTACAAAATCCTTAAAGTCATATTCTCCATTAGTCTCCAAAATGTTAGTTTACAAAATGTTTAATGGCACAACTACATCGAATGTACTATATATATTGATAGTTTCTAATTGATATGATTTAACTAGTTTTTTAATTAAGTGTTAATTCGTATATCCTCTTCTCTTTAATTACAGTGAAAACACCCCCACAACAACACAATTACAACCCAACGAAATACGTCAACTTCTCATATATCCTCAAGGAAAGGGTGGTATTTCAATCAACACTGAAGATTATATGTGCCTGGCCACTGATCAATATTTAAATGATATTATTATTGATTTCTATTTGAAATGGGTACACGAAAACATCATTCCAGATGCACAAAAAGACCGCACGCATATATTTAGCACATTCTTTTATAAACGTTTGACCACGCTAACGCGTCACATAAATCACGACAAGGATGTCAAACAATCAGCCGCTCAAAAGCGTCACGCCCGTGTACAGAATTGGACGAAAAATGTAAATATTTTCGAAAAAGATTTCATTATAATACCCATAAATGAACAGTCGCATTGGTTCCTGGCCATTATATGTTTCCCCAAGCTCAAAGGTCCGGTTACCTTTGATACAAATGTACCGGTGGAATTGCAACCCATTAAAAAGACAAGTAAGTTTTAATTTTAAACCAGTCAGTCATCCTTAGGTTACCTTTGCTAATTGACGTTATTTTCTATCTCTTTGTAGAAGGCAAAAAGGTATCATTACAAATTGGTAATACCACAATTACACCTCTCTCGAAACGTGATAGTTCTAATGTTTTAAGTGAAATATGCGGTGTGGGTGATGACGACAGCGAACGTGATGAAGCCGAGGGAGACGATAGTGATTTGGCTTCCGAAGATAGTGATTTTGATAATTCAAATTCAACTACACCCAGCAATTCTCAACCAGCTGTGCCAGTTGTACCCGGTGCCACAACCAATGCCTCGACACATCAGCCAATAAAACAACCATTGATCCTTATATTTGATTCATTGGCTGGTGCCTCTAGAAGTCGGGTTGTGGCCACATTGCGAGACTATCTGACATGTGAATATAAAATTAAAATGGCCGACGCTTCCTTACATACCTTTAATAAGGACAATATGCCCGGACATTGTGTTAAAGTTCCTCAACAAAATAACTTCACGGATTGTGGCCTGTATCTGCTGCAATATGTGGAACAATTTTTCAAAGATCCCATACGTGATTATCGTGTGCCCATTAAACAGTTGGCCAATTGGTTTGACACACTCACGGTGACAAAGAAACGTGAAGATATATCCAATCTAATACAATCGCTTATGGATGAACGTAATGGTCCCAATAATAAAATTATACTACCGGAAATTCCGTTTCCCACACTTAATGGTCAACTGGTTGAACCAGATGGTTATAATATTGAATTTGAAGAAGAGGAAATGGATGATGACGATGATGTAAGTAATAAATACAATTGCGAATTTAAAGTATTCTCTTTGAAATCGCTTGCTCAACAAACTCGATATAACATATAAATGAATCTAATTCTGATATATATTTTTGTCCTACATTTAGGATGACAATCAAACTGGTGACATGGATGATATTTCAAATGATGAAATTAACAAAGCTAAAGCCCCAATGAAAGTTGCTACCACGCCAGCAACAATAGCAACAGCTACAACTACCGCCGCCCCCACCAGCAGTATGCCAACACTTGTACCAACCCAGGGCCGTAAAATTGTATTAAAACGTAGAATGCAAGTAACAGGTGGTCCGAATGAATCCAGTTCATCCTCGCCATCAATGGCGGCGGGCAGTCATAATACGTCATCTTGTCAAACACCACCTGGCCAAGCGATGACCACGGGTCCACAGCAACGTCCGCCGAATATGACAAAAATACGTAAACTGGAGCCATAATTCAAACATAACTCCGGCCAATAATTATACATACATCCGTTATTATGAATACGTTTTTTAGTTGTATAAATTTCAACACACACACACCCATACAAATAACCCCCCATTTTCATTTAATTTTCTGCCCATACATTTTATCGTTTAATGTTCTTAATACTCTAAAGATTTTGTTTCTTTATGCTATAATTGTTTTTATAAAATAATAATTATTTTTAAATTAGTAATTAGTACACTCAATCCTCCCAATCTTGTTAAGTTGCGCTAGTCCTCTCAAGGAATAAAAATAAACAGACACACACACAATGAATGAAGACGAAAAGAGAATTAACTTTTCGGACATTAAAAAAGTAGATTTATATAAAAAATATAATGCGCGTTTTGTTTTATTTTTCCAACATGCAATGTAAATAGCTTCAGCATACATTAATTATTCAAATTAAAAAAAGGAATCTTAATTTTAATACGATTAAAATATATTTAAACCACTTTAAATAAAAAAGAACAAAAAATGATATTCAATTAGAAAAAAAACTTAAGGATGCGTTTAAAGAAATCAAGTGGTTTAATCTAACTATATATACATATGAACAAAAATATAAATAAAAAAAATAAATTTACAAAAAATAAGTGCTGTCGTTTTCTTTTTTATAATAAAAAAAATATATGCTTGTGGTGGGAGTATCCTTGAAAAATATTTGAAAAGGAAAAGCTTAAGGGTCATTGAATGAAAAAGTGAGAAAAAGTATTTAAAAAAATAGGTCCTTGAAAATAATTATTTAAAATTACTCGCTTAAGAGTCCTTAAAAATATATTAAAGAATTCACACTTTTGGTTTCTTTAAAAATAAAATATATTGGAAATATTTCTTAAACAAATTTCGCTTTTAATGGTTCTTGAAAAAATGGTCGTGATGAAAAATATTTTCCTGGATATTTTTTTAAATCAATCTAAGGACTATCAGCATAATGTTCTGAGGATCTAATTCCTTTCTGATATTTGTGATGAGGCCGAATATCTGTAATCCCGTCCTTCTTCGTAGTTGGAATATACAAAGTTTGGTGCTCAATTGATGTATATTTTTCTTGTATATTATTGAGAGGTAATTTTTTTTCATTCCAAGTGAATGTCCTTTGGCAGCTGTTTTTAATCTATCTTATTTTAATTTAATATTTATAAGTAATAACATTAATGTCATAATATAACCACCTCCAATTAGAATATTAGCCCGCCATCCACTTCTTCCTGGCGATTGCATGCATTCAACTGCAGCAACAGTTTCTTTTTCCCTCTAATTTACAAAACACAACAACCCCCTCTCACCCATAACAGATCAATGTGTTCCTCCTCATAAGGTATAGCAACATTGCACCATACTCTTTCATTTTTATTTTGTAGTTGTTTGTCTTTTTTCTTTATCATTTCCATTCTTAACATGCATGTATGTTCAAAGAAAAAACAAAAACAGGAACCGGATTCCATTAACATACATGAGAGGTTAGAGCCAGTTCAAAAATCGAATTTAAAAGTTACAAAATTAACTCATTATTGAAATATTGAATCCTAAACAAGTTTAGGTATTTATCATAGTCTTCTTGTTGTGTGTTTCTTTGTTTGTTTTTGGGAATTCTGTTTTATTCATTTATTGTATCATGTATTTACAAATTGGTATATTTCATCATGTATGTTCTGTTGAAAAAGTTAGGTTAATGTTTACAGGGTAACAGAGAGTGAGAGAGTAAGTAAATAAAAAATGCTCTCTCCCTTTAAATTTTCCAGAGAGAGGCATTATTCGGCTTTGTTTTTGTGTTGTGCATAAAAAATTACGAACAAGGAATGTAAACAAAAACCAAAAATACAAACAACAAGTAGAACAAAATAATAAATTATCATAATTATTGTAGAATTTAGTGCATTAATTAACTACACAGAGAAAAGTTAATTAATTTCAAATTGAATATAAAATATATATGAATGTATAAATTTTATATTTTAAAATTTCATTTCATTCAATTTAATATTACCTTTCAATTTGTGTACCATTGCACATTACAACCAATTTACATCAGCTGTTTTACACCCAAACTACCCCCCACATGATACAAACAAACACAATCACACTCACACACACTATGACTCTCGCCTTATGCCAACGCTCTTAGATCATTGTTAATGGGCCTTTTTTTGTATTTGCCTTGCCTTACTGTCTGTTACTCTTGTAGGCATTATTTTTGTTTTTGTGCCTCTCCCTTTTCATGCACTTCCATTTTATCATGTATGTCGTTCAACTAGCCTACATACATGATGATATGCAATGCATGTTAACAGTAGTTATAGTACAAATAACATAGTACTGGTTATGGTAAAACTCTAAAATAACACTTGGGGAACAAGTATTTGTGTTTTGTTAATTATTTATGTTTAATAATTAATTAATGTTAGTTAATTTTATATAAATTGTATGTAGCATTTATTGCCATGTATGTTCATAATTTAATAGATGAGGTTAAATGTTAGTTTTTTATTGTTGTATCTCATTCTCTTAATAATTCTCTCTCACTCTATATTTCCTTCTCATCCATTAACATTAACTCTCGCTGTCATTGTTCAATTGTTATCATGTTACCAGATCGTTAGAATAAAGGACTAACAGTTAATAGATGAAGTAAGGACTAGAAGAAAGAAAAACACTCAACAACATTACAAGAAAATGTCAAAGCTGTCAAAATGGTCTTATTTTCATTTATCATTAAATTCCTATAGAATCAGAAGAGACGAGCTTTACCAATAGGAATACCAGTAACATTTCCATCACATTGTTATGTGTTGTTGTTAGTGTTTGTTGTTCTTTAATGTTATTGTAATTAATTGGCATCTACGCTGTTGGTAAATGACGTTTTGCTCTGCACCATTCGTCGTCATTAATGAGTCATTTATTTCTTTAGTCATAGTTCAGAACAAAACAAACTAAGAACAAAGTCGGACGCAAAAACACTCTTAAAAATGTTTAGCAGTAAACCAAATTACACAAAATTAAAAACTAATTTAAAATTAGCCGTGAATCGCCTAAAACTTTTGGAAAAGAAAAAGGCGGAGATTGCCCAAAAGTCACGCAAGGAAATTGCTGACTTTTTGGCCACGGGAAAAACAGAAAGGGCTCGCATTCGTGTGGAACACATAATTAGGTAAGTTGCAAATAATAGTTAATTATTAAATTGTTATATTATTTTTTTTTTTCAAAATTTCCGCAGAGAAGACTACTTGGTTGAGGCCATGGAAGTTGTGGAAATGTATTGCGACTTATTGTTGGCCCGTTTTGGTTTGGTAACCCAAATGAAGGAACTGGATGATGGTATTGCTGAGGCTGTTGCAAGTGTGGTATGGGTCTGCCCAAGGCTGCAAAGTGACATTGCCGAACTGAAAGTTATTTCCGATATATTTATACAAAAATATGGTCCAGAATTTGCTGAGAAAACCCGCACCGCCACTGGGGATCATCATGTTTCAGAGAAGTTAATGCACAAATTGCAATTACAGGCACCACCCAAGTTATTGGTGGAGAAATATTTAATAGAAATTGCCAAGAATTATAATATTGAATATGAACCAGATCCTCAGGTTATAAATGAAGATAATCAAGGTAAGTAAATAACATTAAAAAATTAAAAAAAAATATTAAAATCATTTTTTTTAGGAAAAGACCAATCGCTTATAGATTTATCGGATCGCAATAATTTAGGCGGCAGTGGTGAACCACCACAAATGGGTTTCATTGGCTATCCCTCGCTGCCACCAATGCCAAGTGTACCCAATAACAAACCCTTTAATTATCCCCCACCCTATGGTGGTGGTGGTGGCGGCGGTTCTGCAACAGCTCCCTTGCCTTATGGTGCACCTCCAGCAGCAACCGGTGGTGGTGCAGCAGCTGGTGGAGCACAACCACCACCATTTTCTTATAATATACCACCAAATGTACCAGCTGGAGCTGCTAACAACGAAGTTAAAGATTTGAATACACAGTTTATAAATGTAAGTTATGGCGCGGTTATTGATTGAATTACCATGAAAAGAAAGACACATAAACATTCACAGTACAGGAGATATCGCTATGCAACATAAATTATGTGAAATTGCTTGAAAGGGTAGAATGGGTATAAAAAGCTATATTAATAATTTTAAGCAAGATGTTGCACGTTGCTTTGAAGACTAACTGTATGATTAGCTTTAGGTCGAAATTAGGTTCAACGGGAAAATTTGTATTATATCATTGTAAATCGACTGGAAATTGTCTGAAACAAATGTGATCGGAGAAGACACATAAGGTCTACCCAACAATTTTAGCCTTAAATTACAATGATTCCTATATTCGACAACAATATAAAGAAAGAAGTGTTCACAATACCGTCGGGCATATTCAAATAATCCCTGTCAATCGACACAATAAAATGTCGATGGGATATATAGATATTGCTACCAGTTATTTTCATAACAACAGAGATTTTCATAACCTTGAAAAGGATCAATATAAGCGAGCGTGAATCTCCAGATCAGCAGGCCTATAAATCTAAAATCATTCTTACAGATGTACCCGCCATTATTAAAGGGGGATAAGCTTCCGAAAACATTGAAAGTTGTGATGGAACCATGAAGTGAATATTTCAAGTTGTAACAAATGGATGGAGAAACTCTATACTTTCTCTTCTTATGGTGAAGATGATTAAATAATGTATTATATTACTACTGGAAATTCCCTCCCTCTTTTCTAATATTTTTCTTATATCTTTAATATAAAACTTACATTGCATGTTTGCAAATACTAATGTATTGCTTTAATACTAACACAGGAGGAAACTAAAAGTGAAATGCCATCCCAATTTGGTGATGATGAAGCAATTGATCCCAATATTTTGGTATGTTTTATTTTCACGTATTCACTATAAAAAATCATGTCAGTGTCTGTGATTGTCCCTTTGTTAAATTGTTTTCGACAGCTTTTGCCTACATACATCATCTAAAACACATACATCAAACAAATATGTTTAGTTTGCCTTGCTGTACCTTTTTTGTTACCTATTTTCTTTATTTTTTGTTTTTAATTTTCTTGTAAATATAGCGCCAGAAAATGGACAATGATCCACCACCACGTTATACTTCAATAAATCCAATGAATTTGCAGGTAGTTCGTTAATTTTGCACAATACCTTTATAATTAACAATGCTTAAAATATCCAAATTTATTCCTTCAAATTAAATACTCGTTTCACTTCACTCTTTTACAGAATTCCAATAAACCAAAACCACAGCCACGTAGCAAAATGCCACCACCTTCGGTCCAACCCAGTGCACCACCACCATCAATGGAAATGCCACAGCTACCAAATGTCCCGATGGATTTGCCAGATATACCTAACGAGGACGATGACATCAAACCCAATAACAATGATGACGATATTGATTTTGATGATTTATCCAAACGTTTTGAAAATCTCAAGAAGCGTAGATAAGTTTAAGAGGTCTAATGTTAAGATGTTTATTCCTTCTAATAAGTGAGATTTGATTGAAAGCAACTATTTATAAGATATATAGCTATATAGTATGTCCGTAAACAATAATAAAACCAAACAAATGTATGTTATGTTATTGACTATGTATTGTATAAAAAAATTAACCACATAAACAAATATCTATAAACAATAAATTACATGTTTTAAAATATTTCCTCAGTTTCTATAACTTCCTTCAACTCCAATAATTCCACCAGACCTTTGCCTTTGGTATCATTGCGTACCAACTCATCTATTGTACGATAATTTCCAGGATCTATCAGCAGTGTCATGTGCAAGGTCGATTCATCCCATTCCTCGTGTTCTACTGAGGCAGCCAGTTTTACAATGGCTTCCTTTAATTTCGGTCCATTATCTTTTTTAGCTGCGAATGAAACGCGCAACTTCATGCGCGATCTTTCAATGGGCATATGATCCTTGAGTAGTTTTATAGCATCCAGTGTTTGTTGTTTTGTATTACGATTTGGTTTTATTGAAAAATGTGCCTCTTTCAGTGATTTCTCAATAATTGTTGTTGGATAGGGTCTTCGAGTCTCAGGATTAACACACAAAGCTGCAACACTGTTTATAATACCGTTTAGCTGGGTATCGTGTACGGATTGCCGCTCCTTTTCGGATACTTGTAGTTCACCCTTCATCAGAATTTCCTTGCAGATTTCGGTTTCATCTGTTTTACCGAAAGCTTTTTGCAGTTCATCTTTTTTGGCCGCCTGACCTTTTGAGACATTCGTGAAGACTGTGTGTGTCTGTAAGACTTCATCAATGTCTTTTTCTCTGAAAAAATGAAAAAAAATTGAATAAAAAACTCTTCCTTATCAACCATCATTACAGATTCTGATTATTTGGCATATATTATCTCCCTCAAGTGAGTCATATATGCCGTTGTGATTCATCGTAAACGTCATGGATGGATAATTTCGAATATACATAAATTAGAGCAGTTGGGGTTATCGCTATAATAAAAATTCTTGTTTTTTATACTATTAGGTTGTAAAGTACGGTTATAGCGAACTAGTAGGAACCGAACAAATTGGTTCGTTATAGACGAAGTTCGTTATATCCAAGGTAAGACAAAACCAAGGATTTGCAGCAAAATATATATTACGTTCCAAAATATGTAATTTTTGTGTCATTTTTGGCAATACTTTAGCGGCTTCTCTTTTCCTTTGATGAACCTGAGATTTTTTGCGAACGTTGCCAGCGTTAGTTATAATTATAAATAAGGTCCCGAGGTCGTCAATTTTCAATGTTTAGTTGTGTTCACATAACTTACGTTTGTCTGTTTCCTCTTGTCTAAACCGGTCTGATAGGCCTGATGAACAACTGGTTCAGGTGTGTGACATTGTATCTCTCTTTGTCGATCATGAATAACTCTACTGGCGTGCCTGGAAAGGGTATTGTAGTTTTTTCCCTGTGGTAATGCTCTGCTGAAGTTCTCAGGGCAGGATTTTGGTAGGTCTGAATGCTCTCCTATAATATTAGGTATACCTATTCGCAAACTACACTGACATGCCTATTGTTTGCAAGAAGCGATTTTTCTCATCGGACAATGTTGTTTAGCTAGACTACTTGAAAATTCTATTGGGGTAATTATAGGTCGGAAATTTATCTGAGTCGCTCACATTCCCCCTGCATTGACAACTTTACCAACCATTTTCCCTTATAATTAATTATAAAATTAATTTCTTAACATTGAGAGAATACTAAAAATCTCAAAAATTCCTTAACATGTGCTTAGATGGCTTATTTTGGAATGCCAGATTCAGCATTTTCTCGAAATTACTTACACATTACTTCTCCAACTTAGAACTTTATTTTTATAGCAGGCTATCTCGAAACGTTTTCCTCCTTTCTTCAGACGGACAACAGCTACGTTTGTAAGGCGTATTTGATTAGTGGGTGTAAATATTTTCGACATTTTTCTATTTTTTCTTCAATAAACTAATTGGTATATTCGGTTCGTTTGTTTATTTCAATTTTATTTAATTCAGATCCAGCTGATTGTTATTTGATGCAAGGAAACGATAACTGCGATTGTTTTTAATTTCACCATATGGCGTAGGGGTGCAACTAAAACAAGAGCGTGTGGCAAATAACAGATATGGATGTTTCCGAATCTACTAATTTTATAAATTTTTTGGAAATGTGGGGGAGTACAGGAACGGGATCCTGTACTCCCCCAGCAAAGTACCAAAATGGCAACACTTTATGCTTCAAAATACGTTAAAAATCTAAAGTATAATAAAAAATTAAATATTGTAATAATTATTGAAATTATGCAATGTCACTTGCATTTGAATACCAGCAATACATAAAATGTTATAGAGGTATGCAAATTTTATAAACTCGTCGTCAGTGCCATCTATTGATGGGCATGATTCGGATCTTGCAAATCAGTTTTTCAAGTCCAAAATTTCTCGTGTAAAAAGTTTACAAAGAGAACGCCAACTTGTTTTGTCCTCTCTTAAATTTGATTCAATGTTTTACCAGTTTTGTGGGTTGAGGAACGGTTTTCGAGTAAAAAGTTGCAAAACATGTAAAATGAGTAGATTCTTTTAGGTTCTGGAACGGAACTATTGTCTTTGTGAAGCCCATTTGGACTATTTCCAGAGTTTAATAAAGATTTTCAATAAATTATCCTACGAATTATAAATTGTGGTGTGTTATGGCTGTGCTTTTATTTAAAGGCGAAAAAAATTAGTTTTCACCTCGGCAAAAAAAAAAAAACGTTAAACTTAAGTTTTCTCTATGAATTCGCTTACTGGCCGACCTTATATAGGCCTTGATTGTACCTTTCATATGACACAAATTTTTTTGAAATATCTACAGTAGGTTAAAAGTTAAAACATCGATTTTTAGATCTCAATGGGTAGATCCATGGCACAATGAATAGGTAGTCCATTTAGAGCAGCTGATGTCGTGATTAACTGTCAAAGTGGTAAATTTTACTTGAATTCGATGTGCAATGCTGCCAAATTTTTGAAATATTATAAGGAAAAATTTGACAGATAATCGAGACAAAAAAAATGTTTTTGTTTTGATACATCACCTTATTATTGCATCATGGGTAGATCCATGGCGCTGATGATAAGTGTTTGCCAGTGCTGCCAAATTTAGAGGAAATCATCAGAAATTTAGATCAGGGATGGAAAATTCAGTACAATAGTACTTTTGTCAGTACCTTTTTACCCAGAAAAGTACCGTAGTACCCCCGTGACCATTTCAGTACCAGTACAATCCTTCATTAAACCATGATATATATGTATATATATATATTTTTTTTTTTTTTTTGGATTAGAATTTTTATGGGTTTGACCGACAAAAGTATGCAGATAAAGATATTGATGTGATTGTAATATTCCTCTTGACAAAATTAACAGGTTTACGAATGATAACTGTTCAGTTATGAATAAAATTACAAACATTAATTAAGTTAATGAGTTCCAATTTTTTTTAAATGGTATCTTACAAACATACTCAATTTGGCATACTCTGTTCAAGAGCACTTTGGAACTGAAATTCATGTTAGTTTGGGGTATATTGGCTATTGGCTATTTTTTTTTTGTATTTTCTTGAAAAAAAATACTCTTTTATTAAAAAAAGTACTCTTTTGGTACCTTTTCACAATTTTCATTTTCCATCCCTGATTTAGATTCATAATCACGTTTAAATCCATAAATGAAGGCAGAAATAATGCAGTTTAAGAAAGATTGTCTGACAAAGTTTCCACGTTAATAGTACGTTTACATTTAACCGGATTTCGTTAACCCACTGGGTTTCAATTGTCAATTCCTTTGCCTATATGTCAAATAAATCCTCATAAAGTAGGTTAACCCCGTAAAAAGTTGTAATGTATATGCCGTTTAACAGAACATTTCAGTTTTCTGGGATTCATCATAACATTTGAAGGCGTAAAAACTACTACTATTAAATAGTGTATGTAAAGACTGTACTACTATTAAGTAGTGTATGTAGTTAAGTTCTTAATGTACTTAATTGATTATTTATTGAAATAAAAGAAATAAACTGATTTAAAAACAAATACAAAATCTGTTTTTTAATTTATTTATGGACGGGCGTCTAAAAAATCTATTAGTGGGGGTTATCATTTATAGATTAAACAAGTAATTTCACATGTCTGTCCCTGACTGACTCCCAAAGAATTTGAAAAAAAAAATCTCAAAAATTTTTGTGCAATTTTGAGCAAATTTCACAAAAATGCCAGGCGCCCAGAATGAAGTAGCAAGTTGCCCGCCAAAAAAAAATTTCGAAAAATTTTGATCTGGCAACTCTCTACCCTCGAAAAAATTCGAGCGCCTTAAAGTATGCTATAAATTTTGTAGTTTTTTGTACGGTGTTGCCAGGTGCAAATTTTTTCAAATTTTTTTTTGGCGGGCTACTTTCTATTTTATTCTGGGCGCCTGGTATTTTTGTGAAATTAGCCCAAAAAATGCACAAAACCAGGTGAAAGAAAAATTGTGACGTCATCACATAAATATATGAAGCACGCGTAGGGGCATATGTACTTACCATATTTGGATCCGTAAATAAAAACAAACAATATTTTAGGTAAATTTGTTTTTTTTTTTTAATTTTTATTAAATATTCTTTGTATAAATATTATTTACATATATTTAAAATATTTTAAAATATTTATTTTCGTAAATAATAATTTTCTTAATCGGCTTATTTCGTCTCTATTGTATAGCAATCCTTCTTTGTAGAATTTTATGATTGAGGGAACAGGTTAAATCCAAAAGATATAATTATCGTTAAAGGTGGGCCTGCCATTTTTTTAAGTTATATTTTGATCGTTTACGATTAGCATCATAGGGAAATCCATGGCACAATGAATAGGTAGTCCATTTAGAGCAGCTTATGTCTTGAATAACTGTCAAAGCGTGTAATTTCAACTTGAATTCGATGTGCAATGTTGCCAACCATGGTAAATATTATAAGGAAAAATATATGGTCGAGAAAAAAACAATGGTCTTTGTTTTGGTACATCACCTTATTATTGCATAATGGGGAAATCCAATATACAGTTCTCAATAACCTGGAATGAAAAAATAACGATAAATTAAAAATATATATTTTTTTAGGATAATAAAGATATTTTTATTTTAAATACACATTTGAATAAAATCGGCCGAACAAATTTCACTGCGGCGGAATAACTTCAGGTTGGATTTGTCGAAATTATGCTATAAGCTGATGTATCAAAACAAAAACTTTTGTTTTTGTTTCGACCATGGCACAATGAAAAGGTAGACCATTTAGCGCAGCTGATGTCTCGATTAACTGTCAAAATGGGTAATTTTACTTGAATTCGATGTACAGTGTTGCCAACCATTTCAAATATTATAAGGAAACAAATTGACAGATAAATGAGACAAAAACAAATGTTTTTGTTTTGATACATCACCTTATTATTGCATCATGGACCATCTGTCAAATTTTTTTTTTGGTACGACGTTGCCAGATGCAAATTAATTCTACATTTTTATTTTTGGCGAGCTACTTTCTATTTCTTCTGTCCAAAACCCCCCAATAACAGGAGAACGAAAAACTGTGACGTCATCACATAAATGTATGTCGAACGCGTAGTGGCATGTATACTTACCGTATTGGAATCCGTAAATACGTTTCTGCATATGTCTAAAATTGAAGAGTAAATTGAAAGTTTTGCTATGCAGGATATGAATGTCTATGGAAAACAAATGCCGATCTCAGTAAATTATAGACAATATTAAATTAAACACAAAACTATTGTTCAATCTATTTACATTTATTTACTAAAATTTCAAACCAAACCTTTTAAGGAAAAATCTCTAATTATTACTCAAAAATATTTCAAAAACAAGTGAGAAATTAATAAATGCAATTTAATAAAACTTGTTCAATGTAAACATATCATAATATTTAAAATCATATTATGCTATATTTACATTGAAGGGTTTTTTCATGGTAATGCATCATTCAAATTGACATTTACTTTACAAATTAATTATGATAATAGGAACGAATGTAGACGTACTTCTTACAGATTACGGATATATTTAAAGGTACGTTATGATTCACGAAATCCGCTCGATCTCAAATGTCAATTCCATACCTAAAATATAATCCACTGGATTTGTGAACAGGATTAAGGTGACGTATATGCTATGAAATTGACATTTAAGATCAAGTGGATTTAGTAGTCTAAACATGGCCTGACTACGAAATCCACTCGATTTCGAATGTCAATTCCACTGCGTATACGTCAAGTAAATCCCATTCATAAATCTAGGGATTTCATTTGATGTGTACGGTGTAGAATTGACATTTGAAAGCTATTTGGTTACGTAAATCTTAACGCATGCTAGTTAAGTTTTTTTCTCTTCACAAAAGGTTAAGTTTGGTCAACAATTTCGAAAAACATACAAAAAATCTTGAGATTTTGATGACAGGACTGTCATTGACCAATTGTTTTCCGAAAAAATGTTCTTTTAGAACAGTTCGAAAGAAAATTATTGCCAATGACAGATCGACAGAGAGAGAGCTTGTGTGAGAGTGGTAACAAAACTTATAAACATAATAAGCCATATGTGGTTAATTGCTAATTGTATATTGTTAAAAAATATATGTATATATGTATGTATGTTTGTCTTGTTTTAATTGAGCTGGATTCAAGATATGATATCTATCAAACTTCTTGACTTGTCTCCCGATGAGAATCTGTTTCACATGATTCCATATCACCCATTGTTTTATTATGATGTTCCTCTTCTTCGGCACTGGGTTCATGTTTGGGAGCTGTTGGTTCGTGTTCTTTATAATCGGCATATATTTCAGCACGCTGTTTAAGAATTTCTTGTATAATAACGGTAAGTATTTCACGTGAGTCCACAATGTGACCAACTTCTTCGGCCACTTCTGCCGATAGCCAAGGACAAAGGGTTTCCATGAGTTTTTCACGCTTGGCAGCATCGGTGGCAGGTTCAAGATTGTCCAGAATTTCGGGTAGAATACTGGCAATGTGGCCTTGCAGAAGTTTGGCAGCGGTAACATCTTTTTGCATATCGCTGTCCAAGGATTTTGCAATTTCATCTTGTCGCAGGCGTCTTTCCTTTTCGGATTGTAAACGTAACTCTTCGGCCTCAAGGCGACGTAATTCTGCCAATTCGGCATCACGTTGAGCAAGTAGTCTGAAATGTGTGGGGAATTGTGAATATATTTAAATATTAATCGATATCTTAGAGCGCGTTTAGACTACTAAATTCACTTGATTTCAAATGTCAATTCCATAGCGTATACGCAACGTTAATCCTGTTCACAAATCCAGTGGATTATATTTGATGTATACGCTATGGAATTGACATTTGAAATCGAGTGGATTTCGTAAATCTAAACCCACTTTTAGCTACAAATTACAAATGATACTATTCCAAAATGTACTTACTCAGCTTGTTTATTTCGTATGTGTTGGATTTCTCTTTCGTGGGCCACCTCCAATATACTCAATTCCATTGTACTATCGACCAAGGCGTCAATAATAGGCTGGGCTTCTTCATCAAATTGGAAGAGTTCACCATCGCATATCTCGGTGGCCACATCGACTCCAACTTTGGCCGGTACATACGGTGGCGTTGGTGGCTTCTCAAGAAATAGATCTGTTTGTGTTTCGACCGATAGCTCCGGTGGTCTTGCCACCAGCTCCTCCAAATATTTATCCGTTTGTACATCTTCATGACGTCGACCCGTTACCGGTGGTGGTGTTCCCAAAACATTACGTTGATTTCGTTGGCTAACATTCTTTTTACGCAATGCCTGACGCCGGCGTAATTCTGCTGCCTTGTCAAAGGGATCATAGTCGTTCTGTGTTACAATTAAAAGAAAACGAGGGAGTGGGAATGGTAGGAAAGTACAATATTATTAGTATTGTTGTTTAGTTGGTTTATATAACATTTTGCTAATAAATTTCAATTGCTGTCACAAAAGTGAAGAGTTATTAATGAGTGTTTAACATGCCACTAAGTGCAATTAATTTTGACTACAAGCAGTCTGGTCAACACCATCCCCGGGGATAAGCTATCGACCTACATTGTATTATTTTTCTAATAAAGATAAAATAATTAAAAAAATGCCGATATTGGTAAATGATAGGTATGACAGCGTGTTTACTTTTCGTATTAAACTTTGCAAGAAACACCTTTTGAGAAAACAGCTGATTTCGTAATTTAAATTAACGCCATTTACGAATTTGACGAAAAAACAGAAACGTCCAACATACTGTAAACTTTGTAGGACATTCACTAGATTTAGTCGATTTATAAAGTTGAGTATAAACGCATTTTAACGTGTGAGAAGTTTTACAAATTTAATACAATAAAAATGTATCAAAACAAAAACCTTTGTTTTTGTCTCGACCATCTGTCAAATTGTTCCTTATAATATTTCACATTGAATTCATTACATTACACATTGAATTCAAGTAGAAATTACACACTTTGACAGTTAATCAAGTCAACAGCTGTGCTAAATGGACTACCTATTTATTGTGCCAGCGGATCATTAGTTAGAACCATGGCACAATGAATAGGTAGTCCATTTAGCGCAGCTGATGTCTTGATTAACTGTCAAAGTAGGTAATTTATACTTGAATTCGATGTGCAGTGTTGCCAACCATTTGAAATATTATATGGAAAAATTTGACAGATAATCGAGACAAAAAACAAAGGTTTTGGTTTTGATACATCACATTTTTATTGCATCATGACTAGAACGATTTAATAATTCTTTATCATGAAATAATTCACTAAGAACACGTTTAAACCGACTATAGTAAATTTGTCGAAGTAAAATGGTAACCAGAATTGCCAACTTCTGAATGGCTGTGGTGTTTAGGATGTTCAGGATGCAATAATAAGGTGATACATCAAAACAAAAACATTTGTTTTTTTACACGACCATCTGTCAAATTTTATCAAGTAATATATCTCATATTTGGCAACGTTGCACGTCGAATTCAAATAGAATCCATAAAGCCATGATACAATAATAAAGTGATGTATCGAAACAAAAACCTTTGTTTTTGTTTCGACCATCTGTCAAATTTTTATAATATTTCATATGGTTGGCAACATTGCACATCCAATTCAAGTAGAAATTGTGCACTTTGACAGTTAATCAAGACATCAGCTGCTCTAAATGGACTACCTATTTATTGTGACATGATAGAAACTATGCACTTTGACGAATAGTCAGCTGCATTAAATGGAGTACCTATTTGCTGTGTCATGGTTTTGATGTTAAAGGATTGACCCTCGTTTTGTTTTTTTACTAGCCTAAATATTAAACAAAATACGGGAACAATCATCTGTGAACAGCATATTAGAAAAGAAAATTTAATCAGAATCGTGCGATGTTGTGGTTTGTGTAGTTTTGACAGCAAACAGCTGATTAAACTGTAATAAGTCACTAAACAAATGTACAAGGGAAGACCAAGATCTATACAACAGACCAAGATCTATACAATTAATAAGGTCACACAGGTAGATCAGCTACTTCTCAAGCTCTATATCGAAAACAACATTCACATTTTTAACATTAAACATAATAAAAAAAACAACTGTTTTTGTTTCTTGTGTAACCTTATGAATAGGCCATGATCTATGTCAAACCAAGGTCTAATAATGTCACACAGGGAGACCAGCTGCTGCAAATCAGATGCTTCTCAAGTTTGCCATTACGAAAATAGAAACAACGTCCAAATTTTTAACGTTAGACCTCAGATAAAGCAGCTGATTTTCTTTTGCTGGGTGACCTTATTAATAGATCTTGTATCTAAGAAATAAGTTTGTTTGGTAGACGAAAACCAGCTAAAAAATTTAACGAAGCAAATAACACTTTTCCGAATCAAATCGAATAGTTTTTAAAAGATTTTGAATTGTGATTGTGAATTTAATATACAATAACATATATTGACAGTAAACTTAAGAAACAGCTGATTTTACTGGGTGACATTTAGAATGGGCCTTGGGCAAAATTATGTGAAAAATATTTCAATTTAACTAATTTAATCTGAAGTCATATCATTAAATAAAATCTAAAAAATCCACGCCACTAATTAAATAATTTTCATGCTGACCTTACAGTTTACCTTCAAAATGCTCCAAAAAAGAAACGAACGATAACTTACCAAGAGGGCATTTGTGGTACCATAATTACTGCCTCGTACAACTCTACGGTCGTACATTATATTCTTGTATGGCTCGGCTGGTGGGACTTCTCTGAAAGTACGGAGAGAGGGAAAAAAGAACGAGTAGTAGAAACCAACAAATTAGAATATTAATTACAAGTTAACACAAAATAAATATAAATTTTCTTTCTTCTTTGCGTTCTCAAGAACACACAAAACGATGACCTTTCGTGATGATGAAATTGTAAAAATCTATAATATATATAAGTTTTTCACATAGGAAGAGTGTTATATATGTTGGTGTGGTTGGTAAGGAAATGGCATATTAGGGTAATCCCATTTACATGAATTCTGCTTTAAAAAAATGTAATTAAGGTTGTCATATTCCCCATGTTTACGCTTCAAATAAATGATGTATTTTCATAAATTTGGAAGTTTTAGGCACGAAATAGTCATTTAATATATTTGTAATTTTTTTAATATATTTTTAATTTCTAAAAAACAATGAAACCCCCACACCCTATTATCGTAAATCCTTTAATATTTCCCTATAACATCTGTAGTATTTTTTTATATAGTTGCTGCCACTATTCACAGTCACCCAGCAACATGTGATGGGAATATTATAGGCTGCAAACTACACACAACAATACCATTGAAGAAGGTTGTTCAATTGAAATGAACGAATGGAATAAAAAAACCGAACTCACGACCTATGCAAATTTTTCTTCAAGTTTTTACAATGGACTTTTTATTTTATTTTTCTTTTGCTATTTTTTCGAAAATAGTTTGAAAAACCGGAAGTCAATACAGACATAACAACAGTTCGGTTGTATGTCGATTTTGCATAGTGGACGCGAGGACGTTGTAATCTATGACATGTAGGATAATGATTTTTGAGGTGCACTGAACGAAAATGGGATTCGTATGGAAACCTAGGCTTAGGAAGGGCAATGGAGGAGGATTACGATTGCCGCTTTAGCTGGAGAAAGGCATGCAAAACGAGTATCTCACAGTCTATAAATTAAAAATAAATTTATAAAAAAAACATTTCCCTAAATTGGTGTTAGTATGAAGAAATACTACTGAGCATCTACAGAACTTATTCCCCATTTGAAATTCCTTAAAAAAATTTCAAAAAAAAAAAAAAAAAAAATACCCTTTTGTGTGGGAGGTACTAGAAGTACTGGGCCGATAAATCCCATTTCCCAACATTACATAGACATAGTTAAAATATTAGGTTGTGCAAGGTTTATTTCAAATAGGATTGTCCATTCACTTAATATTATTAATTTTCAGCAAAATTTTGACCATTTTGTGTGGAAGGTACCAGAAGGAGTGAACTGATATTCCCCATTTCCGAACTTGATTTATGTTTGGAAGAAATATTATGATGTAGAAAGTTTGGATTAATCCGGTTACTAGCCACTAAGGCGTTGATTTAAAAACAATATTTTTTTCAAGTACCAACTAAGGCGTTGATTTTTTTAAAAAATATATATTTTTTAAAGTACCCATTGAGGCGTGAATTTAAAAAAAAATATTTTTCCAAGTACTCATTGAGGCGATGACATTAAAACAATACTTTTTCAAGTACCCACTAAAGCTAGGATTAAAAAAATTTGTAAGTACCAACTAAGGTTTGGATTTTTTTTAAAAAATATTTTTTCAAGTACCCACTGAGGCGTGGATTTTGATTTTTTTTTCAAGTACTTGGATTTAAAATATATATTTGTTCAAATACCCACAAAAGCTAGGATTTAAGAAAATATAATTTCAAGTACCCACTAAGGCGTGGATTTAAAAAAAGTACCCACGAAGGCTTGGGTTTAAAAATATATATATTTTTTCATGTGTCCACTAAGGTCGATGAAGAAGACATTCAACTCTTCTATGAAGAAGGCCTTCAGCTCTTCGATGAAGAAGGCCTTCAGCTCTTCGATGAAGAAGACCTTTAGCTCGTCGATGAAGAAGACCTTTAGCTCTTCGATGAATAAGACCTTCAGCTCTTCGATGAATAAGACCTTCAGCTCTTCGATGAATAAGACCTTCAGCTCTACTATGGAAGAAGACCTTAAGCTCTTCTATGGAAGAAGACCTTCAGCTCTTCTATGGAAGAAGACCTTCAGCACTTCTATGAAGAAGAAGACCTTCAGCACTTCTATGAAGAAGAAGACCTTCAGCTCTTCTATGAAGAAGAAGACCTTCAGCTCTTCTATGGAAGAAGACCCCTTCAGCTCTTCTATGGAAGAAGACGCCTTCAGCTCTTCTATGGAAGAAGACCCCTTCAGCTCTTCTATGGAAGAAGACCCCTTCAGCTCTTCTATGGAAGAAGACCTTCAGCTCTTCTATGAAGAAGGCCTTCAGCTCTTCTATGAAGAAGGCCTTTCGCTTGCTTGATGAAACATACCTAAGAAGTCTAAGAAGTCCTTTAGCTATTCTATGACAAAGATCTTCAGCACCTTCAGACCTTCTATTCTTCAACATTGGAATTTTTCTTGCAGTGTACCCACCATGTGGTAGGATTCATTATTTTTTTCAAATGAAAAATTTAACATTTCCTCTTTGGCTAAAACTGAAGTGTAAATTGCGAGAACCTTGCATTAGTTTAACGTCAAGTTTCCTACAGTTCTTAGCAGTTGTACATTTTCATTTTATTTCTTTCAATACAAGACCCAAAAACCAACAAAACAAATAAAAAAACCCAACTGTAGTCAAAATAGTTAAAAAGGCTTATTTAGGATTAGCAGGACATTCACCTATACCCCAGAGGAAACAAACAGAGACACCAATATTAAAAAGCAATAATAAAAAAAACAAAAATCAAATTAAGTGAATAATTTTTTTTATTAGTCATACGGAAATTTGGTTCACTTTTTTTGTTTAACAAAACTATTGGTTATTTGAGGTTCTGGTTACAATACAATTGGGATTTAACGTTTGATTTGTTTTTGGTAAGGAATTTCCGTGATTGGCGTATGTGACACAAATATCTAGTCTACTTCCCTGGTTACATATGTTAGCTGGAAATCCCTACTCCTTTAATTTAATAAAAAATGAGAGTGAGCTAAATTTCGAATATTGTCCTTATTTTCCAAATTGTCATCATCATCATGGTTGTTGTTATTTTTGTAGTTATTTGTTTCGAAGTTGTTGTTATTGCGCATTTGAATTTAGGCCACACAAGCAATGATTTGAAAACAAAATAATTACATGTTTTTAATATTTTATTAACCTATATTTTGTTAAATTGTTATAGGGAGTAGCTCTAGCTAGCCAGGAGGTTGGGATGACTGTCGGAGCACGCATAACCTTTGGAGCAATTTTATATGCATATATATGTGTGTGTGTGTGTGCATTTAAATATTTCTGGCTCATCCTTTGTCATGCATTCTTGTGATTTCAGTTAATTATTCATTCATTTTGAAATGGTCACAATTGTAGATCCAATTTAGATAACTTGGGGGAATTTTGATTTAAAAGTTTTGATTTTATTTTAAATACTCTAATAATTTTTAAAACAATAAATCGGTTTGTATTGAGCTAAAATTGTTTGAAGATGGTAGTTCTGAGAAGAATTTAGTTCTTCTATGAGACCTTCAGCTCCTCCATGGAAAAGACTTTCCGGTCCTGTAAGGAGAATACCTTCAGCTCTTCTATGAAGAAGGTCTTCACCTTCTCCATGAAAATACCTCTGAAAAAGAAGACCTTCAGCTCTTCTATGAAGATGAAGAAGGCCTTCAGCTCTTCTATAAAGAAGAAGACCTTCAGCTCTTCTATAAAGAAGAAGGCCTTCAGCTCTTCTATAAAGAAGAAGGCCTTCAGCTCTTCTATGAAGAAGAAGGCCTTCAGCTCTTCTATGAAGAAGAAGGCCTTCAGCTCTTCGATGAAGAAGAAGGCCTTCAGCTCTTCTATGAAGAAGAAGACCTTCAGCTTTTCGATGAAGAAGACCTTCAGCTTTTCGATGAAGAAGACCTTCAGCTCTTCGATGAAGAAAACCTTCAGCACTTCGATGAAGAAGACCTTCAGCTCTTCTATTAAGAAGACCTTCTTCTCGACGAAGAAGACACTCAGCTTTTCGACGAAGAAGGCCTTCAGCTTTTCGATGAGCTCTTCTATGAAGAAGACCTTCAGCTCTTCTATGAAGAAGAAGACCTTCAGCTCTTCTATGAAGAAGAAGGCCTTCAGTTCTTCTATGAAGATGAAGAAGGCCTTCAGTTCTTCTATGAAGAAGAAGAAGGCCTTCAGCTCTTCTATGAAGATGAAGGCCTTCAGCTCTTCTATGAAGTTGAAGAAGGCCTTCAGCTCTTCTATGAAGATGAAAAAGGCCTTCAGTTTGCTATGAAGTTGAAGAAGGCCTTCAGCTCTTCTATGAAGATGAAGAAGGCCTTCAGCTCTTCAATGAAGAAGAAGACTTTCGGCTTTTCGATGAAGAAGAATGCCTTCAGTTTTTTGAAGAAACCCCTTTTCAAGAATATCTTTTGAACCTTTTTGAAGAAAAACCTTTTCTCGAAGAAAGACTTCCGATTTTTTATGAAAAGACTTTCTCCCTACGAAGCCATATAAAAATATTTTAAAAATGTTGTCGTCTTAAATATGAAGTCCTTTAAAAAAACAAAAACTTTATATTTTATCTGAAAATCAAAAATTGAACTCTGAAAAAGTTTTATGCAAATTGTGTTTCCTAGCAAGAACATGCCCTTCCTTCCCCCACCCTAACACCTTTAATATTTATTTGCTTCAAAATAAAAAAGGGCACACTTTAATAGAAAAACATAAAAATACAACAACAAAAACTACAAAGTTACCTTTTTGAACGACTTTGTTCAAGTTGTTGTTGGAATTGTTGTTTGGTAATACTTATACCACCCAAGGGAGGTGAGGTAGCATTGCCAGCTGTTGAAGATGATGCATGTGGCGGTGGTTGTTGTTGCGGTGGCCCCCTGACACCGTTTATACGCAAAGCGCTTTTCGACGAATCTTTATCAGCATTGGCGATCGAAACTCCAACAACACCGACCCCGCTACCGCCACCTGCACCCCCACGACTAGTTGTGGAGCCTGTTGTATATGTATTCGAATATTTGTCCTTGGCCATTGTTATCGAAGAGTTTCGGTTGGCGTAGTGTGGTTGGTGTTGTTGTTGTGGTTTCTCTTGGCTATTTTGGCTTCTGGTTATTATTTTGTGGATAATTTGCGTTTGGTCAGGATAGGGCAGCCGACTGAAATGATGTTGGTGTTGGTAGTACAAAGACGACGTTGTTGGCTCGTTGCCCTTATAGACGACCGGATGTGAGGAGTACGCATACAACTGCCGTTTACGTGGCGGCGAAACGAGTGCAACTTCTTTTGGCGGTGGTAGGAAAATGCCACGCGGCACAGTGGTAATGAAAAGCGGTCGTTGGTTAAGTGTTTCTTGATTGCTGCCCTATAGGAGTCAAGAAGTCAAAAAGACGCAATAGAATTGTAGAGCAAATAAAAAATTAAACGGTGGGTCTGTCTTGTGTTGGGTTCCCCAAAAACGTGGAGATAGATGTGGGGAGTGTGTGTGTTTTTTTAATAGTGGGGAGTTTTGTTGGGAAATACCAACAATGGAAATGTCATCTGATATTTTAATTGTCATAAAAGAACCATTAAGAAATTTATTTGTTGTTAATGATTTTGATGGATTTTGTCTGTCGGACTTATTGATTGTTGTTCGATAGTTTTTTTTATTGAACTTTACTGGTGGAGGTTGGGTAAAATGATTCATAACCAAATTTTTAAAACCTTCAGCTCTTCTATGAAGAAGACCTTCAGCTCTTCTATGAAGAAGACCTTCAGCTCTTCTATGAAGAAGACCTTCAGCTCTTTTATGAAGAAGACCTTCAGCTCTTCTATGAAGAAGACCTTCAGCTCTTCTATGAAGCAGTCCTTCCGCTCTTCGGTGAAGAAGGCCTTCAACTCGTCTAGAAAAGCTCCATCTCTTCTTTGTAGAAGACCATCAGAACTTCTATGAAGAAGACCTTCAGAACTTCTATGAAAAAGACCTCTAGCTCTGGTATGAAGAAGACCTCCAGCTCTTCTATTAAGAAGACCTTCAACTCTTCTGTGAAGAATACCTTCAGTTCTTCTACGAAGAAGACCTCCAGCTCTCCTACAAAGAAGACCTTCAGCCCTCCTACGAAGAGGACCTCAGCTCTTTTATGAATAAGACCATCAGCTCCTCTATGAAGAACACCTTCAGCTCTTCCATGAAGAAGAAAACCTTCAGTTCTTCTGTGAAGAAGTCCTTCAGACCGAAGAAGACATTCAACTATTCACGATGACGACCTTCAACTCTACTCCGAAGTAGGCCTTCAGCTCTCCTACGAAGTTATGATAAGACTTTCAGCTCATCGATAAAGAAGACCTTCAGCTCATCGATGAAGAAGGCCTTCAGCTCTCCTACAAAGAAGACCTTCAGCCCTCCTACGAAGAAGACCTCAGCTCTTTTATGAATAAGACCATCAGCTCCTCTATGAAGAAGACCTTCAGCTCTTCCATGAAGAAGAAAACCTTCAGTTCTTCTGTGAAGAAGTCCTTCAGACCTTCAACTATTCACGATGACTCTCTACTATGGCCTTCAGCTCTCCTATGAAGTTATGATAAGACTTTCAGCTCATCGATGAAGAAGGCCTTCAGCTCTTTGATGAAGAAAACCTTCAGCTCTTCTAGGAAGAAGAAGACCTCCAGCTCTCCTATGAAAAAGGCCTTCAGATTATCTACGAAGAAGATCTCAGCTCTTCAGCTGTTCTATGAAGATGGTCCTTAGCTATTTTATGAGGAAGACCTGCAGCTGTTCTATGAGGAAGACCTTCAGCTTTTCTATGAGGAAGACCTTCACCTCTTTTTTTGATGAAGAAGGTCTGCGGCTTTTCTACAAAAATATCAATACCATCCCAGGTTTTGGTGTAGTCCCAATATAACGGAATTACTATTTTGAAAAATCTGGTTAACGATGTTAGTACTAGGCAGCTTTGAAATATGGAGCCTTTTCACTTTAATTTCATTTTTTGACATTTCCATTAACACTTATTTTCCAGAAGTATTTCCCAACAAAACTCTTCCCTCAACCAGAAATCGAGAAAATTTGTCAACCTACATTTTGTGAAGAATTTTTAAATTTCGACAAACTGTGATCACGATTCCCAGCAATACTCGAATCCAAAGAGCTTAGCTTGCGTTTAAGTTCTTCGGCAAATTTTTGTACATCCCGATTAAACGACGGCTGCGTTATCGATAATCCAACATTGGCTGGATAGCCAGTGATCCTAAGATCTCGGCCAAGCAGATTTGCATTTTTCGGCAATGCCGTTTCCTCGGAACGTCGTATGGGGTGCACTATGGCGTTCGGTTTAGCTAAATACGAAGAAGACGAAGTATAATCGTTATTTAAGACGGTAAAAGCCGATAGCGATGTGGGTAAACTGGTATTGAAGTTATAGGCCGATATTGAAGGTCCGGCAAATGAAGAAGTAAAATGACGAGAGGGTGTATAGTCGGAGGCAAAGGAAAATTTTGGTCTAGTAGCTCCACCGCTTGGTTGTTCGTCTTGTTCCTTTGACTTCGATTCCTCTGGAGGTGATTGGGGTATATTGTCACTATCCTGGCTATCGTTGTTGTTCGTGTAGGGAATAGAATTGCTTGCGTTGATGCTGTGCTCGGAATTAGAAGGGAAGTGCTGTGGATTTTCGTTTTCTTTATTATAGTCCACGTTTTGCATTATTCGTTAATTCTTTTTTCGTTTTGTGTTATGGATTTTATTTGATTAAATTTGTTGTATTTTTGGGACATTTTGTTGTTGTTGTTGATTAATGGCGATATGTGATTTCATTTCACGCCACAGTAAACCGAAAAACTAACACTAGAACAATGATGGAGAATGGAGGAGAATATTCGGTATAACTGCGGTAATCGATAAACTAGAAAAAAGCCGGACCGGCGTTACTTATATTCCGCACAATTATTTTACTATTTGAAAACGCCGCGAGTGTTGTTCAACGGTCAACTCTTTGTCACGAAATGACCAAAACACATGCTCTCGCCAACACGACATGAGTCAAGTTGTGGGGCTAACTTTGGTTAGCGTGTTTGGAGCTAAGTTAGAATTAACGAAGGATATGACAAAAAGGAACAGAACAAAAAATACCGATGGTCAATACTACTAGAAAAGCACAAACACACAGACACACTTCGAAAGAAATATTAAATGTGTATTGGGGGTCTTTCGGCACATGTCGCTGTGTCCTTTCGGCGTTTTGGTAGTCGGGCTGTCTAACATTAGAATATCAACCTCAAATGTGCGGTTTAACATATAACAAAACGCAAAGGGTTCCCTATCTTAGATTGGCCGGCGTATGGAATTGCGCAGGAATTCCTGATAGAAAATAAACATAAAAACAGCTGTTTTAATTCCGAACTCTCTCATTCTCCTCTTTCTCTCTCTCCCGCTGGGTTTCCACTTTCAAATGGAAGGGCTAAGTTGACTAAATGACCAAAGGATTGACTGCCTCAAGGCGATTTAAATGGAAACCGCCTTACTAGAATTATCGATGTCACCAACTAAATGTGAGAGAGCGTGAGAGCGAGAAATGGAAATTTGAGATTTAAATACTAGAGAGTGAGAGAATAAATTTTGTGAGAGTGAGAATGCAGGAGAATAAATGTGTGTGAATTAAACATGATTATGATTTGTTATATTTTTTTTGTAATTAATTTAATCTTCATTAAAAATAAATGTTTGTTAAAAATGAAAGTACAGTGGCAATCGTATATGATGGAAAAAGTACAGGGGAAAAAATTCTATAATATAAGAAAAAATTTGATGAACTTCTGAAAAATAGAAGACAATTCCAACAGTCTCGAAAATGGTGGAATGAAAGTGCGCATTTTTAATTTTTCCATTGTAAACAATTGCAGATGCGTCTTTTTTGAACACCTGTTTGTATATGAAGGAGTTGCCAGATCGAAATAAAATTTAATATGTGTTCATAACAGAACACGTAACTTTTTTTCTGTTTATACCGCTTTTTTCTGCTAGGCTAAGAACTTTCCGAACTGCCCTCGTATGTTATCAGAGTAGTATAGCTTTGTGCAGACCCAAGAGTTTCTAATGATGCGAAATATTGGTCATATCTCGAATAGTTGAATCGGTGTAGACATGTGCGTTCGTCCGTGTGTCCATTATAATTTGTAAACACGATACAGGCCACAGTTATGGACCAATCTTTACGAAATTTTGCATGTAGGATGGATTCTGGGCAATGAAACCCCCTACTGTCTTTGGTAATGATCCGTTAATATTTAGGGGATGAAATGGACTAAAAACTTAATTTTTGTTTGATTTTCTGGTCGCTATAGAGGCCATAATTTTGACCCGAACAACACGAAATTTCAGTTCAGGAATAAGCAAGCATTTGATAAAAATCGGTCTATATTTATCCTGACATATGTATCCTGATTTCTGTTTGAAAAGTGTGTAAATTTGCATTCTATGGTGTATAAATTTACCCCAGAGGGTCATAGATGGAATAAGTTGACAGTATATCGAAGAGGAGTGGCTCACCTTTAAATTGATATCAATTTTATTGTTCTATCTACTCGGATGTGGGAGTTGCACGTTAATATTTACAGGGGTCTTCCTATGCTAAAATTTTTTAGTGTTACCATTACTACACTAGTGGGCGGAAATGTAGTGCTGATGGCTAGGAAATTTTCCTGGAGGTTCCAGTTGTGGTCAAAGACGGAAATCTGAACAATTTATTAGAATGAATTATCGGTTAATATTGAGTGGGTCAAAGGAAGGAGACTTTTGTCTTTTAAATACCAAAATTTGAATCTCATGGGAAGACGTGATTCGGAAAAGATACCAGGGTAAGAAGCTGTAGCTGTTGACCTCTAGTCTGCCAAGAGTGTACAAATATTGTGAAAGAAGGTGCAGCTGTTGACCTCTAGTCTGCTAAGAGTTTACAAATATTGTGAAATATCACCAAGATTGGGAATATAGATCAGCTGAAAGTTTGAGTTCAGTGGTAGTTGTGTAGGCGGATCATATGATCAAAACCCGATATTTCGAGGTGTTACATTTATGAAAAGTAAATATACTATCCTTAGCCTAAAAAAGAGTAGGGTATACAAATTCTGGTGGAAATATGTGTTCGTAGTTCTATATATTTTTGAGTGGATGTATGAACGTATTTTTAAAATTTTTAACGGGTAGCTGGTTTTTCCTCTGTGTATTACAAATAAAAATTAAATTTGTAGATGAAGAACCTGAAAAATCCCCGAAATAGAGCAGGGTATTTCTATCAGATGATCTTGAGATACCGAAAAAATACACATTGATTTTCAAAAAGTGTAAAATGAGCGGAACTATTATGTATAGAAACATAGACCTATTAAAATTCCCTTCTATTGAAACTAGGAGATATTTTTTTTTACTTTATGAATGCTTTTTATTATCATTACGGTTCGAAAATGTCTCTGGGATTTTCGAGAAATAAGAAAGAGGGTGTATTTATATGAGATCTTTGTCAAATCATGGACCTACATTGATATTTTCGGCCAGAAGGTCTTTTGCACTCCAATAACTTGAAATGTCAAGGTACAGCTACTGCATTTGGAAGATTTGACGAGGACCTTCTAAATACCAAAATTTGCACTAGAATTAGATCCCAAACCGTTTGGGAGATAACTCAAACAGATATGCAACAAACGAAATGTGTATTTCGCCTAAAAAGAGCATATATATCGAAATGTGTGTGTACAGTACATTTTGTTGTTTTTCAAAAGCCTTCTTCCTGTATAAATAAATTGTATTTTCTTTGGGAATAAAAGACTTCATAACAGCTGCCCACATTATAATCTGACCTTGAACATATAAACAACATTTAAAAATGAAATGTATTTGTTTAGGGGTCCAATGACCTTCAATAGGTTAAGTTTCAATTTAAAGGCTAACAAAATTTAATTTAAACCCATTGACCATAAATGTCCATCTGAAACATTTCTCCACAATGATAATAAATAATTGAAAAAAACAAGAAATTCTAATAAAAGAAAGTGACGAGTCATTTTAAATTCCCACAGTCTATCAATCATAGTTTCAATAAAATCAAAAGAATTCAAATGGAAATTTTCCAATTAAATGCTACCATAACAAAATACTTTACTACACATATGTACTCGTATATACATATAACAAATGTGTAATGTATTTATAACCACCACACATGTAGGTGACTAGGTCTTCCTTTTTTATAATTTTAATGACCACTTGAGCTGAACAGCAAAATTCTGTACAACCAAACCAAAATGTGGAAGGGAAACCAAATCCTTTTTCCAAATTAGAAAACCCTGCTTGTAACCAAGAAACGGAAACAATAAAAATTGTCCAAGAACTGTCAATTACGTGGCAGGCCAATGCCAAATGAAAGACCATTCATCAAATGGTGAACCAAAAATAACAACAGCAATTATGTCACTGACATTGAAAATAAACATCATTTCTTTTTTAGTGGCATTTCTGCTTCTTCTTCTACTTTTAGTTCTATGAAATGGATTATGACCAAGGTTCACAGGAAATCCATTGCTACTTCAGTACTTTGATTTCAAGTGAAAAAAAACAAACTTGCACTAAAAGTATGTGTCTATAGGTGCCCCATGGTTATTATTATTTATTTCATGTGGTCAATAATTTGCATAACCAACTCCACGGAGTAGTAAATCAGATGTCTTTATGGTCGCCAGCTAAATTTAGTCAACGACGAAGGGGACAATGGCAATGACCACGTGTGTATGCGCCACGTATTTACGATTTGTTTTTTTATTTGGAAATCAAAGCAACGATTTTTTGTTAGTAGTTATTTCTGGGAATTGTGTATATAATCAGTATGTGACGAATGGAAAGACATTAATAAAATGAATTCCCTATAAAAAAGACATAAACTGGGAGTACCTCACTGCGTATACTTAACATACGAGTAAATAAATTACGTTACGTAGTCTTCACCATGCACTGTGTAAACACACATGCATACACATGTTTATATTGAATATGACTTCAAATATACTTTTTTGGAACCAACATTAAAGCGACACTTTAAACTTCTAATGATCTACATAATATTTTGGAGAACAGATCCGACAATTTTGAGTCCCGAAAGGTGCTAATCTAAATGTCGCACATTGTAATATTGTGCACTTCTTATGATATCTTTCACTTCCATGAGCAACCTTTTCAATGTTTGGAAATCTTATATGAAACATATTGACTACCCGAATCGATCCCAACTTTAGTCGAAGAGGGGTAAAAAGGGTCAATATTTTGATAAATACGTAATACGTACTATAATTCCCAAATTTCGAAGTTGGAGACTGTTAACCTCCTCCGTATTATTAGACTTGGCAAAGTACGAAGAGTCAGCTTAGGGGCCCACTCTATTTGGTAGTTTGTCCACAAAAGGTCAAAATTTAGGATAAAATAAAGCGAATAGAGAATCCGATTTCCACACTTTAAACATCAATTTCTCAAATCTACAAAATTTGGAAAACTCTTAACAATTAGTAAAGGTCCATTTGGGTGTCTCAAAATGTTGGACCTTTTAATTACAAGCCAAATAAAAAAGCTCTAGGTACTGTTTCATAAAACTAGATCTTCTATCGACACATGACACTCAGAAGATCTGCCAAATATAGTTGACCCCTTAAATTAAAAAAAAAAAATACCCCGTCGAAGATATTCCATGCCTAGAAGATGTATCGAAGATTTTTTTTATCTATAGAAGACTCTTTAAAGATACTCTATAGAAGACAAATTGAAGGGTTTTCCTAAACAGAAGAAGACACATTCAAAGGCTCCAATCTATAGAAAAACTATCGAGGGTCGTCAATATACGGAATACCCTTTAATCTAGAGAAGATCTCTTGTAGGTTTACACAGCATTTCACAGAAAGTATTTATCTATTTTCGTCAACGGAAAACCTTTCTATCTGTAGAAGATCCCTTAAAGAAGAGGAAATACTTGTTCTACAGAAGACCCATTGGAAGACTTCTTATTTGGAAGACCCCTTGAAATATTTCTTCTACAGAAAAAAGCGATCTATTTAAATGTGATCCCTTAAATATCTTCTGTGGAAGATCTCCTGAAGAAGAAGCTTGGGCGGGCTTTTGCTGATCTTAGAAGACCACTCAATCTGTAGAAGATATCTTGTAGGTTTACACAACATGCCACGAAAATCGTTTTCAATTTCCGCCAACGTCTAAGAAAAAAAAAACGTCTAGGAGGACTTGTGCTGAAAGAAGACCCCTTGACAGACTTTTTCTACAGAATACCCTTCATGGGGTACTAGGGACTGGGGGACTTTTACTGAAACAAGGCCCCTTAAAACACCTCTTCTACAGAAGACCCATTGAACAACATCTTCAGAAGACAACTTAACGGTGATCGATTTAAATGTGAAACCTTAAAGATCTTCTAAGGTCTTCTACCTATACATGACACATGAAAGATCTGCTAAGTAAGTAGATCCCTTGAATTACAAAAAAATACGCCTCCTAGATCTTTGATTTCCAGCAGATACCTATATAGAAGATTTTCTAACTACAGAAGACTTTTTAAAGGTATTCTATCTATAAAAGACAAGTTGAAGGGTTTTCGTCAACAGAAGAAGGCTCCAATATATGGAAGAACTATTGAGGGTCGTCAATATACTGAAGACCCTTTAATTTAGAGAAGATTTGTTGTAGGTGTACACAGCATTACACAGAAAGTCGTTATCAATTTCCGTCAAAGGAAGAACTTTCAATATGCAGAAGATCTCCAGAAAAAGACGTCTGAGAGGACTTGTACTGAAGGAAGACACCTTGAAAATTTTTTTCTACAGAATACCCCTCCAAGGTGTGCTATTTAAAGACCTTCTACTGAGAATATCTTATAAAAGACGACTGGGAAACTTTTACTGAAACAAGGCCCTTAAAACATTACTACAGAAGACCCTTTGAAGGTGATATATTTAAATGTGATCCCTTAAACACCTTCTAAGACCTTCTACCTTTAAGTAACACTCAAAAGGTATGCTAAGTATTGTAGACCCCTTGAATTTTAAACAAATATCTACAGAAGTTTCCTTAAGGGTATTCTACAGAAAAATTAAATGTTTTCGTTAACAGAATACCCCACATTAAAAGTCTCCAATCTATAGAACTATCGGGGCACGTCTATATGCAGAATACCCTTCAATCTAATCCCCCTAAAGTCGTTATCAATTTCCGTTAACGGAGGACTCTTCTATCTGTCGAAGTTCTTCGGAAGAATACGCCTGGGAGGAATAATTCTACAGACCGCCGCTTGAAAGACTTCTACAGAAAACCGCTTCGAAGATGATATATTTAAATGTGATCCCTTAAAGAACTTCAATGAAAGCCTGAAGAAGACGCTTGGGTGGAATTTTCCTGAAAGGTCATCCCTTAAAGATCTTCTACCTATAGAAGTGATCCATTAAGAACATTCTATTAGTGAATATTCTTTCAAAGTGTATTTATAGAAAATGCATACGAGGTCGTCCATCAACAGGTGATTCCTGGTAGGTTTTCCATGTATAACAAGATTTGAAGGTATTATATCAATAGACGATCCCTTGAAGGCGGCCCATTGCTGGTCTTCTATCTGCACGATACTACTTGAAGTTTTTTATTTTATTTATCGAATACGCCCTGAATATACATTATATGTCCTGGAAAGCTCTCTTCTTTAAACTAACCTTAGAACAGGCCTAGTGAAATATTTTTTTTTTTATTTACAGAAGATTTCCCACAGATCATCTATCTATGGAAAAAGTAATTTATCTGTATTAGACTATTTTCTATCCATAAAATACCCTTTCGATATATTATGAAAATCTTCTAAATATCGAATGCCCATTAAAAGTCTTCTGTCTAATTACTTCTGTCTCCTTGAAGAAATTCTCTGTGGGACCGTTTGAAGGTCTTTAATCCTTGATGAAGAATAACTTTTTATGACTTTCCTAGCCTTTTATCGACATAGAAATTTCGTTTGTATGTTTTGTTTAATGTTGTACTTTTTGGTTTGGAAGGAATTTGTTGTGTTTTTTATTGTTATTCAATAGGCATTTCAGTATTTGTTGCCCCTCCCCCACACCATAAAAATCTAACACCAGGGTTCATTGAACTTCGATGTTATTGACCTTTAACGCCTCGCTTGTATATTGAGACGTTAATAGCAGTGAAGAAATAAAGAGGTGTGAGTTTGACCAATAGCTAATGGCTGTAAACGGCAAAGGAGAAGAAGCATAAAAATATCTGTGGACAGGAAGACAAGTTGAACATAAGTACAATGGGACGTATAGTAAAAGGCTCAAATATATAACATGTAGATATTTTTATTAAACAAAACGATTGATATTATTGTTAATATTTTATCAAAAATATGGAAGACTTCATTCATAGGTGTGGATAATTTTATCTTTAACTATGGATAATCCTATCTTCAAATATAAATAATTTTATTAACCAAACTGTATAATTTTCAATTGTAAATAATTTTATTCTCAAAAATGAAAATTGTGTTGATAATGTTATGGCCATAATTTTATTGGTCATAATTTTACTTTCATAGTATATGGATAGTTTTATCCATCATCGTCTATTACTTTATTAATTTCACTAAATTAATAAATTGTAATTAATTAATATTATTAATAAATAATTAATTTTATTGATAATTAATTAATTTTATAATAAATATTTTTTATCACAAAATTTTACCCCCAAAAATTTGGATTATTTTTTATATCAATAACTTCAATATTTTATTTTTATAAAAGAGGTCAATAACCTCCAAAAGCCATTTTGATGATACGACCTAAGGTACTGCTGCTGCCTTCATTATAGCAATTATCAAAATAGAAGAAATCAAACAAACCAAAACAAAACCACGAATTGAAAGCACACAAATATCCGTATCACATGATATTGAAGAAATTACCAAATTATGAGCTATTTATGATTAGCCAGGAAATTTACAACAAAAAAGAAACACCTTTTCGATAGATGAAGAAAGCGGGGAAGAAAGAAGAAAATTGTTGTTACTTACTTTTGCTGTTGGCTCTTGGCACTTTTACGAGCCACCGTTTTCGGTTGGGATGACCACCAAAATGTATATTTGCATGGTGGTGCTGGACATCCTGGCTTACCCGGTGACCATTTCAATTGTACCTCGGCTATATCATTGCGGGAGGGCGGTGAATCAGGCGGTTGGGTACCCAGCAAAGATAACAAAGCATCACCGGAATATTTTTTACTACGACCAACATTACGTGGTGGGATTGTGGGCATATTGGGTAGATTGAAGTCTTATTGGGTTGCGTTAAATGCAAGAAATACTGTTTTTGAAAAAAATGCAATGTTTCGGTTTCGGTTCGATTTGTACTGAATTTCGTTATTACTTATTTCGGTTTATTGAATTTACACTAAATTATTAAAATTATTTTCTTGCTTTGACAATATTTGTTGTTGAAGGTTTTTTTATTTTTTGATTTTAAGTTCACATTTTGCTGAGTTTTTTTACTTTATTTTGGGATTTTCTTGAATATTTTTTTTTTATTTCGTTTTCGACCTGCTAAGTTGTTAGTTTGTACACAAAATAACTGTAAATAAAGAAAATCAACAATCAAAGCCGTTGTTTGTTTTGTTAGGTTGCCATAGGTAGTTGTCAAACTGCAGCGGTACAACGGTATTTTCAAATTTTCTTCGAATTAGTATCAGTGCAACCCTGCGCTAATATCGTTGGCAATGAAGTACTCCATTGTACTCCATTTCAAAAATAAAAAATATGACAGAAAAAATATTATTACTTTGAGGATTGTGTTGTAAAAATAGCAATATCAACCACAAGGAAAATTGTGAAGACAATGCCAACCATTGCGAATACGATGTTTTATGGTTCTTATTTTTTGCCAATATAAAAATCAAATTTGAGGACTAAGGGTAGTTCTGATTTTATTCATTTCATTGCATATTCTATCAATTGGCAACTCTAAAAAACATTGATTGGCAATGCTGATAATGTATATGCAGAGCGACATCTATATCCAAAAGCTATTGTAATGCCTTTGTTATCAAAGACCCCAACCACATATTGTGAATACACAAGGAAATTTAATTTGAAAACCAATTTCCTTCCAATAGCAAAGACATTAAATATATAAAAGGAAGATTTCATAGTCATAAATGAAATATAGATGCCGTTGTGGTATAACCTAACTGAGTGAAACTGGTCTTTCTCTGAAATACACTAGAATTTTGACAGACAGAATTTTTTGAAGAAACGGATATATAAAATATTTTAGTCGAGACAAAAAACAGGACATTATTATACTCTGTTGCGGACAGGAAAACTACATTTGGAAAATTTTGATAAGACCTACAGGTTATGTCCAAATATGTACTTATATTGATGATCTAAATGGCACTAAATTTGGTACTATTTGCATTTGTTACTATTTGCATTTTGCATTAGGGATGAAATCAGGAAAAAAGGAATTACGACTTCTATTGGAATACAGGTTTGAAGTAGCTTTAAAAAATCTTACTTATTTGTATGGAAAGTATTAAATTGTACTAAATTTGGTACAAGTGGGATTTTGTTGAACAGATAGAGCTGGAGTCATGAAATTGGGAATTAAAATTACTGTTGGAGTGTGGGATTGAAGTAGTTTAGAAAATTCGTACTTATGGGTACGAAAAGTACTAAAATTATTACAATTAGGATTTTGGGTAAACGGATAGAGCTGAAAATCTGAAATTTAGATTACAGTTGAGGATTGAGATATAGAGTCAGCTTTGGAAATTCGTATTTATATGTACGAAAAGTACTAAACGGCACTAGATTTGGTACAATTAGGATTTGTGTGAACGGAGAAAACTGAAAAACTAAAATTTGGAAAAATGCTTGCTCTTGGAGTGTAGAATTGAGATATGGAAGTACTGATAAGTACTAAATGGTACCAAATTTGGTACAATTTAGATTTGAGTGAACGGATAGTAATGGAAAATTTAAATTTGGAATTGAAATTACAGGTTTAAGGAATTTCGTAATTTGTGTGAATGGGCAGAACGGGAAATATAAAATTTGAAATTAAACCCACTGTTGGCGTGAGGTAGTTTTTAAAATTCCTAATTACGTGTACTAAATGGTACTAAATTTACATTTGAGTTAATGGATAGAGATGGAAAACTTATATTTGCAATTAAAATTATTGAGAATTGAGGTAGTGTTGGAAATTCGTACTTATATGTACAAAAAGTACTAAAGGGTACTAAATAGGGTACAACTTGGATCTATGTGAACAGATATGGCAGGGATCGTGAAATTTATGAGAAGTGTAGAATTTAGATTCAGTATCTGATTTGGCACACGCACATCGTAATATTTGTACCAAACCTACATATGCTTAACTGATCGATGAAAACAAAAAGCTATATATATATATATAGAATAAGTCCTGCTCTCTATTTGCAAAAAACTCTAGTAGTCGATTTTCAAAATCCTCCCTAGATACCAAATTTTGCATTGCATGAAAATATATTATAGATTGGTGCCAAGTCCGGACTATATTGCGGATGCATTAAAACATCACAACCAAGATTCATAGGAGAGCTAGACATGTATGTTGCCTTGCTTTCCTAACACCGTTGAAATTTTCAAACGGTATTCCGATGTTCCAGTGAGGAGTTATCATGGCCATCAAAAATAAGGACTTTTCTTTAATTACAAAAAACAACAACAAAACAATAACAAAAATGTTTTGTAAATTATTTTTCTTCCCTTTTAAATCTTCAAATGGGGGGGGGGGGGGAAGGGGGGTGTTCCCCCCTTTCAGAAATAATGCTGAAGTTCATAATGCTGAAGTCCATCAGAAATAATGCTGAAGTCCATTTAAAATATGCACCGTTTTGTTGTATGATTTGTTGCCAAATTATGTTGCAAAAACACTCTAGTAGTAGATTTTCACAATCCTCCCTAGATACCAATTTCGATCATTTCACCGATTTTATCGACATTTTCGACGACCGACATTCTTTTTACTCAACCTACATTAATTACGAAGAAGATGTTTATAGGGCAAATTCTCCTGGTACCTCCATACAAATATAGGTCAACGGATCGATAAAAACCAAAAACCTTAAAGGTGCATCATCTCTGGCATATTCCCTCCATACTGCGATAATTTTTATAAACAATAAATTTAATAAAAAAATTGTTCCACTCGGCATTAGACAGTAAATGCGTAGACCCTGCGCAAACCAAAATATTAGAAATAGAAGTCCGGATAAGTGTCTACTACATATGTTATATATTTAGGGTATATATCTGTCGATAACACCCTCTAATGCATATAATTTGATTTGTGTTTAAAACAATCTGAAATCAACCTATTAGATCCAAATAGTATTTCTTTTCATCCCGTTGACATTTGATCTCAAAAGTTCCAGGAAGCTGAAGTCAATTATATTTAATCGCAATTAAAAATGACACCAAGTAAAATAACATTTAATTAGGCTGACGACACACCAGGTCATTGACTATCGTCCAATGTTGAGATAGACCATTCCTTAAATGACCTACGCGGAATATTCTTTAATGTGCCTTCTCTTGATAAAAGTAATTTCTGTAGCGGCAAAACCCTTTAAATGATCCTCCAAATAGATTTCGATAAATATAAAATATTTGTGTTATAATTTAAATACAAATAGAGTTCGAGTGTTCAATTACAAACTACAAAACCTTCGATTTCTTGAAAATTCTAAAAGATAAAAGTTTCAAATTTTGGTATGTTCAAAGAAGTGTTAATTAAATGTCTAATGTCAAATGATTTGTCAATGTTTATCAGACATAAAATAGACCACACATTGCATAATTCCGATACATACCAAATGGATTAGTTAGAAATCGATATATAATGGAGAGATCACACAATGATTTTCAAATCATTTAATTTGAGGTTATATTGAATCAATTAATTATGTACAAGATCATTATTCATAGAGTAAGAGACCACACACAACATCACATCACTATGAATCTCATCATTAGCCTTGCCAACTCAATCACACAGCCTTTCCTATGCAAATTTATCATTATTTTTTTCTTATGGGTTTTCCTGCACCTCATACCTCATTTGCTGGTCATGCAATCTTTGCACATCATTTATCTCTTCTTGTACCCATGTTTTCCTCCATTGGTTGTCAAGGAGTGAGACTTATTGTGAATTTGTTTGTTATCACAATTGTCTGGTGTCATCAGTTTGTTGTTTGTTTCCTTTATTTTCTTATCTCTCATCATGGCAAGAGAGAGAGGGAGGGAGAGCGAATGACATGATCACTTATTTAGATAATGTCAAACCATGTCTCCTGGTTGTTAGGTTTCTCAGGAAAGGACAATTGTGTTTTGTAGATGCTTTATTTGTTGTTGCAACAAATGGTCTGATGTAAATGGAGACATGTTTTGACACTGTAGGAAAGAATAATGACCATATAAGTTTAGCAGACAATGAAATAATTATTATTTTGCTAGATGAGTGGATTAAGCCCAATCCTGAGGAATTCATCACTATAGCGACAGATATTGCTTAATGTAGAAACAACGAAATTTACGACATTAACTTTATTATCCTAGATATTAAAAAAATATTTTTATTGTAAATTTTCATTTTATATATGCATTAAATATTGGCTAATACAGAAACTGATTAATTTCTCCTTATGAACTATTTAACTTTAAATACAGATAAATTATTAGTAAAATAAATTTTGCACTATCTTGTAAGTTTGAATTTTTTATTCCTTACCTTTAAATTGCAATGTCAAACTGCAACAACAAAACAAAACAAATACAAAATCACAAAAATCCTTTCCATTGGCAACAAATTGGAAAAACCAGCAACTAATCAATGTAAAGTGGTGGTTTCTGTGGGAGCCGAGCATTTGTTTTTTTTTTTCTTTCTTTCTACTCTTTCATTTGGTTCGATTCCTAAGGTTTTGTGGAATTCATTGAAAATATTTTCCAACAAATTAGACTTTATGCAAATTATCAAATTTTCCATGAGCTTGGGTAATCTTTGACGACGACAACAACAACAACACTCATTGTAAATATACAATAACATACAATGCAAATAAGTCCGGCCGAAAAAGAAATGAATCTGATGTAGAAATGCTAAAAATCTCTTTCAACCACAAACCTTAAGCAATTATGTAAAATCTAACCAAGAGGGGGGAAGAGAAAAATGTTCGGAGAGGGATGCATGAAGGATATGCTGAAAAAGTATTTATCA